TCTTTTTCAAACTTCAGGGGTCTGTAACTCGGTCCCTGGTTGTCGGATCGACTTCCCCCGTATCTAGTTCGACTCAGTTTTCGAAGCTCTTTCGAATGACACCTCATTTGTCGAAATCGGTTCAGAAACAAAAAACCGGATATAAGTCACAATACCCGCATGGGGAATTAATCGAGGGAGGGGAATTAATCGAGAAAACACGGTAGTAGTATAATTTACTAGAAATTTAGAAAATGGTTTTTAACTACATAATTTCCAAATTGCTACATGTAAAACAACCTAAACCAATTGCAACTGAATTAATTTTTGAAATAATAAAATTTGTTAATAGTTACCCAGAAGAATTATTGGATCAAATAAATATTGGAGAAAAATTAACTTTATTTAAAAGATTTTCTTCTTCCTCCAAAATTTTTTATAAATTTTCAGGAAATGGTTTATTGAATAAACAGGTTAGTTTTAAAAAATTTGGGTCAGAACGTATAAATAGGAGGAGGAATTTGAACTTTTATAGTAGGTTGATATTTTAAGATTCCATATTTTGAGATTCGATACTTTTAACATGCGATGTTTTGACCGGCACGACGAATATCAGCGACTCAACGGGCTCTTTCGAATGAGCTATCATTTGTATAGATTTTCGTCTTTATGATTTTGTGCCTCTGTGGTTTAGGGGTCTGTATTTCAGTCAAATCAAGTCGCATTTTGTTGATTTTGGTGTCATTCGACACAGCTCGATGGGTTCTACAATTGTTGTCAGACTGACCATTTTTACATATTTTCCAAAAAAATTGACGGGGGGGGGGGGTAAATATGTAAGTACCCGGCTAAACTCACAAATTGTATCTTGGAACAAAACAAAATTTACCATAAAAATATCAAATTTTAAAAGAGAAAATTACTGGCTGATGAGCTTTCAAAGAGTAGTGAAAGTTTTGCAATGCTTGTTTCTATCTTGAAGCTTGACCTTTCAATTATTCGCACTTTGGTTCAAAATATAGGTGGGTGTTTAATGGATACACCCAAACTATAACTTCGTTCAAAAGATTGACAAGGAATGGGACTGAATGAGAATGGAATAGAGTGAGAAGGAAGTCGGTTTGGGTCGAGTTTTGGGTCGAAAGGTTCCGGCTTTGGGTAACCCATGCTATTACATTCCTGATACAGACTAAAATAAAGGGCCGGTCATTTTTCGACCCAGAATTATATTTCTTCGGGTTAGGGTCGTTTTGGCGTCGGACCGTTTTGGCGCGACAACTAAAAACTGGTAGCTAGGCGAGAGACCTAAATTAATAAAAAAATTTTACATTTCTTTAACATCCTTGACTACCTGCTCCAAAAATTTCAGAATTTTTCATCAAATATTTCTGAAGTTATAGTCGATAAACCTCGAAAAATTAGGCATTTTTCAGAAAATCAACGTTTTTGGCCATGATTTTTAAAACTTGCTCAAAAATTCTGAAATTTTTGGTGAACTTAGATAAAGGTACGAGAGTTATTATTACAAAATTTTATCATTTTTGATAATCAACTCGCTATCTTATAAGCTCGCGCCAAAACGGCCCCGCGCCAAAACAGCCTCAGTCCCGATTTTCTTCTCAATCCATTCTCATTTAGTCACATTCAATGTCAATACTCTATCCACTAATTTAACTTTTTTTTACAGTTTTTTATCTTGCCGTTCTATTATCCCCGTTTTGTATAATAATTCTATGTGCTGTATTTATTATCTCAGCTATTATTGGCTTTTGTTTCTGCATTGGATTGTTCCTTCTTGCAATTCCATTATGTCCTTTGGCGCTAACCTTATATGGCTTAAAGCGTGTTTATGGAGGGATATTCAAATTGCTATCAACTACAAACCGTTATTTCGTTACGGAGACAACCACAATTACGGAGACAATCGACAAACAATAAAATACCGTGTTTCCTCTAATGCCCGGCCATTCTATTTTTCGATCGCCTTCCAAAGGGGCATTCTATGTGTACTTCCAAAATTTTTGATTATTTTCGTTCCTTATTTAATTCTCTATCATTTAAGCTTTATTTTATCTTTTTATTATTTATTTGAATAAAGTTACACAATAAATAAAGCAACCCGGTCACTTTTTTGTCACGCTGTACAAAATGCCAACAAAAATGTTTTGATTTAAAAATTGGATACTATAAAAGCCTTATTTTCCTTTAATCTTCTCTTTTCTAAAAAAACAAAACGCCAAAACAAAAATGAATATTCTTCTTCTGCCAGTGGAAGTCCATCTGGACATATTTAAATATCTCAACTTTAACCAAATATCCTCTATTCAACAAACAAATAGCTATTTCTGTTCATTAATTGATAAATATATTGGGATATTGGCAAAGAAGAAATTTTATTCTTTGGAGACAATTGTGTATAAATCGGTTAATGACAAGAACAAATATTTAAAATTGAAGGAAGAGGATATTGGTTTGGCTGATGGTTTTGAGTTGAGTAAGGAACTTGATGGGAAGGTGAGGGAATTTTTTAAGATAGATTGGGCTGGGGTAGTTTCTCCACCCAATGTCTAACCAAATCTTGAAGAAAATCTTGAATCTGGTTCAGAACTAATTTTCGAATCTGACAAAATATCAATTTTTATTTTTCAGTGGCAAGTTGCTGTCGATAACAAAACTCCAATGTACTTGTTTTCTGAAAGTCTCAAATCAAAGGAGCCGTATATTGTCAACTTTGCTATTTGTGTGACTAAAAAGAAGCCTAAAGGAAAAGGTGAATTTTTAATCTATACAAGTCTTAGGGCCAGGATTATCTGGGTTATCTTCTGCCTCGTTAAAGCCTTTGAGTATTTCGTTTAGGGATAATAAATTTTTGGCTAATTTGCAGGATCTTTCAAAAAAAAGTCCTTACTCTTGATCAGATAACTCGTACAATCGCACCTTTAAGCGCCGATTGATCGTGCGTTCAATCTAGGGTATCTCCCAGTACCCCGACGATTTTTTGACAAAAACATCGATCCGAATCCCCAAGTCTCTAACCCGCCAAACCCCGATCCCCGACGATCCCGACCACTAAGGCTGAGGAGCTACCCTAGTTCAATCTATACCAATAAATACCCATTTACGCGTAAAGGTGCAATAACTAGGTTCCTGATTGTCAGATCGACTTCTTCCCCCGCGCGATCGACTCAGCTCGGCGAGCTTTTTTGAATGACACCTTAGTCGACTAAATCGATCCAGCCAACAAAAACCCCCTATAAGTACCCCGTATAATTTTGGAAGGAGTCAAAAAGTCTGATTTTTGCTATTAGTCTAAACAAATATTTTTCAGATGACAATTCGTCCCAACGTCTTCTCTTAAAGTTGCCTTATATTCCAAAAAATATCAAAGAAATGCTTCTCTGGCGTACTTGGCTGGTTAGACTCTTATTGAATTGTTCTTTCGGAAAAGGAATAATTAGATTGGAGGACATCATCTTCAATCCAATAATGATTCTGTTGCTATTCAAGAACACAAATCCGCTTATTTCATTGGATATTATGTTTATGGAGAGTGGTTCATGCACGGTTGGCTGCCAGTTTACTTCTCGAATGCATCCAAACTTTTCGGAGGATATGGAAAAGGAGAATGCTTCGCAAAATTTTCCGTGGCTTCACTATGCAGAAGTTGCCCAGTTAGCGTGTCGGATCTTCTTGCCGCGAAAGGATGAGTCTAGTTGTGTCCAAAAGCTCGATTTTTTCTTTGTTTCAAGATTTGGATATACTAATCTTATGCCTATGCATTAGGCTTTATTTGTGTGTAAATATAGGGGAATATTTTTTGTTTGATAAAATTGTCTTTTAATGATTTATTTGTTTTTATATTTGTTGCAATTACAAATTAGTATTTTAATTTTTTTGTCACACAGAGTCGCCATATAGTGATATCAAAGTTCCAAAATTTCTCTGGAACTAGTTCCAGTTCCAGAACCAGGTTTTTAATTTTTGTAGTTCCAGTTCCTGAACTCCATTTTTGAAATTCCTGAGTTCCAGTTCTGGAACTAGAACTAATTAGTTCCGAAACTTGAACTTTGACATCGCTGACGCCAATGAGTATCGACCCGGGGCATCGACCAATGTGTTTTTTATCGTTTAACCCCCACCTAAGCATTTTAAATGCTGCTAAGTGAACCCGGACCGGGAATTCCCGATCCCGGTTTCATCCCGGCATCTTCAAAAAATGCCGGGAAAAAGGACTGGATACTATAAAAGGCTTATTTTCCCTTCATTTAACTTCTCTTTTCTAAACAACCCCCAAAAAACAAAACGCCAAGAACAAAAATGAATATTCTTCTTCTGCCAGTGGAAGTCCACCTGGACATATTTAAATATCTCAACTTTAACCAAATATCCTCTATTCAACAAACAAATAGCTATTTCTGTTCATTAATTGATAAATATATTGGGATATTGGCAAAGAAGAAATTTTATTCTTTTGAGACAATTGTGTATAAATCGGTTAATGACAAGAACAAATATTTAAAATTAAATGAAGAGGATATTGGTTTGGCTGATGGTTTTGAGTTGAGTAAGGAACTTGAGGCGAAGGTTGGAGATTTATAAAATTTTGGGTCTTGTCCCCGATTAATTTTTGAATCCGGACATGGACTGGATTCTTGCTAGGTCTTTATTTAAGGGTACATACGAAACATTTCGGGTCAGATGTACCTCGAGCTGTAACCGTTAAAAATTATCGAATCCAGGAAAATTAAATTCATGGAATCGATCGAAGCGCACCGAACCATATCAGGACGTCCTTGATTCAATAATTTTGAAATAGCTTGGCGGTCCATTTAGCTCGCGGTAGTTTGGCCTGCTCCCTTAACCAGTAAATATATCTAGTTACTTCGAAATCTGTTGCTGAGCAAATCCCAAAGGGGATCAAAAAGGGCATCTGTTTCCCCCAATTTCTGAATGAAAAAACTCTTGAATTGAGTTTTAATCTTTCTTTTCAGTGGCAAATTGGTATAGATTACAAAACTCCAATGTACTTGTATTCTGAGATTGTCAAATCAAGGGAACCTTATATCACCAACTTTGCTATTTGTTTGAGTGAAGAAGAAGGTTACAAATTTTAACCAAAAATCCGAATAAATCATTTTTTATATTTTCAGATGACAATTCGTCCAGATATCTTTTAAAATTGCCTTATATTCCAAAAAATATCAAAGAAATGCTTCTCTGTCGTTACTGGCTAACAAAACTTTTATTAAATTGGCCTTTCCAAAGAGTTAATTTTGACAATATTATCTTCAATCCAATAATGCTTATGTTGCTATTCGAGAACAAAAATCCGCTAATTTTTAGTAGACTTCGAGTACGCTTTGAAGAAGATCTTTTTCGAGTTGTTCTTCAACAATATTCCATCTTTCTGAAAAAATCTAAAATGGAGGATGGTTGGCAAAAACATGTGGATTTATGGCCCTATGCTCGATTGGCTGATTGTATTAAGGTGTATAAGGAATCACTGCTAGATTATGGTAGTGGCTGGGTTGTAGGTCTTTCTGTATACCCAATTTCTTATATGAAGGTAATGGGCTTTTAATTGTTGTAAAAATATTTTTTGTTTGATAAAATTGCTTTTTAAATTATTTGCTTTTACATTTGTTGCAAATGCAACTTAATATTTATATTTTTTATTGCCACTATAAAATTGCCACTATAAATAGTTCGCGCCGTTTTAGCCATGCATCGTTTTGTCCTTGCGACGTTTCGATTTACGATGTTTCGGTCTGAGCCGTTTTGGCTGCGCCCAAATTTTTTATTTTTTGTCAAAAAGTCCTAATTTTCAAAAATTCTTAGTTTGTCTCGGATTTGAGATGTATTGATTTTGATTTTAGTTGTTGACTTTGACCCTCGTCTTTGAATCAAGAAAAATCGGTCATTTTCTTTATTTTCAGAATTTAAATAATGTCAGTTCCAATTATTCTTCTTCGTGAAGGCACACAAACAAAACAAGGACGTGGACAAATTCTAAGCAATATTAGTGCTTGTTGTGCTGTTGCTGACAGTGTTAGAACTACGCTTGGACCTAGAGGATTGGATAAATTGTTGGTAGACCGTAAAGGTTTGGATCGATTTTTTGAGTTGATTTTTTCGAGGAGAAGGGGGGGGGGAGTTGCTTAAACCCGGAGGATTTTTTGTTGTTTTCCTATAAGCATGGGAGATCGGAGTTTGTTAACTTGGTCCAAATACCTATGAATTTGATTTTTGGGCTCCTTTGGAGTTTCCCTGGCCGAAGTTTTCAGTGACTTGTTTGGGCTGTGGATTCGAAACTTATTTCCAAAAGCCAAACTTTGGTCGTCCCTATTTTTGTGTAGGCAATGCGTTGTATGGAATATGGGGATCGAGCTTGGTAATAGCCAGAACACAGACCTTTTGACTTTTTATGATTTCCTGGACTTTAGGGTTTCCTAGGCTTTAGGCCCAAACTGTCTGGATGGAGTTTTGGTAAGACTGAGTTTTGCTTGGACTCAGTTTTTTCCTCATTCACCTCCAGACCTAGACTATAGTTCTTTATCGTCAACATTTCAGGCCAAACAACAATTTCAAATGACGGAGCAACAATACTTAAGCAACTCGATATTGTTTTCCCAGCGGCGATAGTTATGTCCGACATTGCAAAAAGTCAAGATGCTGAAGTTGGGGATGGAACTACGAGTGGTTTGTTTAAGTTTAGAAAATTAAAGAAAATTTATTTAAATTTTCAAGTTGTCATTTTGGCCGCAGAATTTTTGAAAGCTGCAAAGCCTTTTATTGAAGAAGGGGTTAGCCCTCAATTGATCATTAAAGCTTTTGAGGATGCTTCAAAAGAGGTTTTTTTATTTTGTAATTTGTGGGTTATCCTGGCAAGGAAAGGTTGCGAGGTGTCCGACTTAAAAACGGTCGAGACCGGGCTCATTCGATAGAGAATGTGCCCTTTCTAGCAAGGATTTTGTGCCGTTTTTGCCCGTTTTTTGATCTGGTCAAGATATGGCCTTCCAAATTCCCTAAATTTGGCACTAAATAGGCAGATTAAAAAGACATAATGGTCAGAGCATCCATACTTTCTCTGTTAAATTTGAGGGAGTGATATCTAACCATCATGAGTCTTTTTTATATCTGACCATTATGAGTCCATTAACCCACAAATACTTTTAAAAATTCTTTATTTTTTCCTTTAAATTTTAAAGGCCATCAAAAAACTCCGTGAACTCGCTGTCAAAATCGTCGGAACTACTGAATCCATTGAAATGCTTGTTCGCTGTGCAGCTACAACATTGAGCAGCAAATTGGTTTATTTTCGAATTTATAAAAAATTCAGAAAAAAATTTCTCTCAGTTAAAACAAGAACGTCACCATTTTTCTACAATGGTAGTTGATGCTGTTAGCTATTTGGATATTGATTTGCCTTTGAATATGATTGGAATTAAGAAAGTTAGCGGTGGCTCTATTCGGGTTTTTTTTTATTATTAAATACCTAGGTTTGGACTTTATGACTCCTTTTTTTTCTTTTTCTTCAATTCCTCTTCCCTTTAATAGTAAATTTTTGGTACCGTTTGCTGTCGAACCTTTCTTTTCTCTGTCAGCTTTACCCGCAACACGCCGGATTTTCGACTTTGGAGTTTCGCCTTTCGTCTCGATTTTAAGATTACTTCGCACACCCCTGTTATATAAGTATTTCCCAATCACATGGAAGGTTGTTTCAGCAAACTGGGGGGTTCGGATTCCTCCATCCAGCTTGAATGTTGTTTTTTGTGGGATTGTGTTTATGGCGTTTGGTATTACGGCACAATGATTATTTTATAGTATAGAGGAAGTAGGTGAAGGGCGTGGGTCAAAGTCTTCTAAAATTTTAACTTTAAAAATTTTTTCAAAGGATTCTCGTCTTGTAAAAGGTGTGGCCTTTAAAAAAGCCTTTAGCTATGCAGGATTTGAAATGCAGCCCAAACACTATAAAAAGCCTTTAATTGCCGTGTTAAATATTGAATTGGAATTGAAAGCAGAAAAAGATAATGCTGAATTACGCATTGGAAATGTTGCTGATTATCAAGAGGTTTTTTTTTGAACAAAATTTTTTTAGGGGTGGAAATTTCGAAAAAAAAATTTTTTTTTGAAATTTTTCTAAATTCCCACCCTGAAAAAAATTAAAAAAATTTTTTTCAGAAATTCCAAAAAAAAATTTTTTTATTTTTCAGGTGGTCAATGCAGAATGGACTATCCTTTATAATAAATTGGAAAAAATTCATGAAAGTGGCGCAAAAATTGTTTTATCAAAATTACCAATTGGAGACGTTGCTACTCAATGGTTTGCTGACAGGTTGGGGGTTTCTTTAGAAATTTTTTTTCATTTTTTTATATTTTAAAGAGACATGTTCTGCGCTGGCAGAGTTCAAGATGAAGATATTGAACGCGTTTTAGCTTCTTGTGGTGGATCATTGTTAACAACAGTTTCTCAGGTGGATGCTTCTGTTCTTGGTTGTTGTGATGAATTTTATGAGCAACAAGTTGGAAGTGAACGGTTTATTTTTTGATTAACTTTTTTCTTTGTGGAAGGGCAATGGTCGGACCAGACAAAATTCTGTCTTTCAAAACGTCCTCACAATTCCTTTGGGTAAAGTGGACGGTGTGCCATTTTCGTCTTTCATCGAATGCCGGATTTTTTGAACCTTCACTACTCGCTTTTAAATCACTTTCGGCACACCTTTGGTATGGATAACAATGAGGCCTTTCAATTAATTTTGGTAGAAGGACAGAGGGTCAGTTTTTGGAAGACGGAGTTTTGTCTGGATGAAATTTTGCCCCTTACCTATTCTTTCTTAAAAAAAATTTTTTTCAAGATACAATTTCTTCACTGGTGGTTCCAAAGCAAAATCTTGTACTTTAGTACTTCGTGGAGGTTCAGAACAATTTATTGCAGAAACTGAACGTTCTCTTCACGATGCAATTATGATTGTTCGTCGAGCAATGCGTAATGATTCAATTGTTGCTGGTGGGGGAGCGATTGAAATTGAACTTTCACGTCACATTCTTGAATTGGGAAATAAACGTGAAATGAAAGACCAATTCTTTTGGAAAGGTTATGCAAAGGCTTTTGAGGTTTTTTTAATTATAAAATTAAAGTTGGTGCCCTAATTTGTAAGGGTACTTTCTTGAAGCAAATTCAATGAGCTAGGATTTTAACTAGGAGGGACGTATTGAACTAACGAAACATTGAAATTCCAAGCCTTTAAAGCCTTGAAATGCTAAACTGTGGAAATGTTTAATGCCAAATAAATGCCATTATTTGATGTTTCAGCGGCTTTTTGGTGGTTTGAAATTCCATTGTTTGGCATTTCAAGTGTTTGACATTAAGATGTTTTGACACTATAAAATCATACCTAACTAGGGTGTATTTCTTAATGGGCAATCGAATTTTACAAAAAATGGGTAAATTGAAGGTTCTCTTGTAGGTTTCTATAAGGGCGGTCCAATATGTCGGATTGTCTATTTATTAAATTTTTTTATTTAAAAGGCAATCCCTCAACAACTTTGTCACAATGCTGGTTTGGATGCTATAACAATGCTCGGAGAATTACGTGCTGCTCATGCAAAAGGGCAAAAATGGTGTGGAATTGATATACAAGCCGAGCGTGTTGCGGATAATATGGAAGGGTGTATTTGGGAACCAGCTTTAGTTAAAGAGGTTTTTTTTTATTATTTTTTTAATTAAATTTTTGGGCAACTAATAAGATCATATTTTGGGATAAAGGAAAGACTCAAGTCTCGGCTCTATAGGAAATAAAGGGAACACATAAAGGAACACCCAACCCAGCTCTATAGGAAAAAGTGATTTTATTAAGGTTATTTTTTTCTTGTGTCCCTGGGACAGTGTAGTCTGAGTGGTTGACCTGACTGGGTTATGTGTAGGTTTCAGCTCTAGGTTCGGGTAAGAAAATTTTTTTTCCGCAATTCGGGCAACCCTACCCATTCATGATCCTAAAAAATATATAATTTTTTAGAATGCTATAATCTCAGCTACAGAAGCAGCTTGTCTCATTTTAAGCATTGACCAAACAATAAAAAATGTAAAATCTTCAAATGAAATGCCTGGATTGCCTGGACAGCATTAAGAGAGGTTTAAAAAATAAAATTGTTATCTAGTAAATTAAAAGAAGTTTTTTTGTTAAGAAAAAGGAGACAAAACACTCGTTCAATTTTTGAAATTTTTTTGTGTCATTTTGTTAACTGACTGGCGCTGGTCTAGTTTATGCGTCCAATTACACTTTTATGCGTCCAAACAAAAGAAAATTGGATTTTTCTTGGTGAGGAGTATGGTTCCAAAACATTTCTTCAAGTTCGGGACCTATGTCCACTGGGTCTGGGACCATTCCTAACTTAATTAAAATTCATTGTGGAGAACCCCTCCATGAATAACAACATGGCCATACATGAAAACAAAGGCCATCGTTAGAAAAATGGAAATTGTGTATATTGAAAATCTTATGAGCACCAAAAAATAATTCAATAATTTGTGGATTAAAAACAGCTTGTTTGACCTTAAAGTTTTGAATTAAGTCACTTGACAGTTTTGTAAGCCAATAGTGAAAAACAAGCATTTCAAGATCGTTTCTGGACAAGATCGTCTCTGGATATTTTTTACATTGCAAACGAAGAAATTTAGTTGTCCAATTAAAATAATTAAAGCTTCAAAAAGTAAAGAATTAGACTCATTCGACTCAGCTCGACAAAAGTAAAGTCTAATTCTTTACTTTTTGAAGCGTTAATTATTTTAAATGGAACAACTAAATTTCTTCGTTTGCAATGTAAAAAATATCCAGAGACGATCTTGTCCAGAAACGATCTTGAAATGCTTGTTTTCACTATTGGCTTACAAAACTGTCAAGTGACTTAATTCAAAACTTTAAGGTCAAACAAGCTGTTTTTAATCCACAAATTATTGAATTATTTTTTGGTGCTCATAAGATTTTCAATATACACAATTTCCATTTTTCTAACGATGGCCTTTGTTTTCATGTATGGCCATGTTATTATTCATGGAGGGGTTCTCCACAATGAATTTTAATTAAGTAAGGAACGGTCCCAGACCCAGTGGGCGTAGGGCCGGAACTTGAAGAAATGTTTTGGAACCATATTCCAATTTCGCAACACCAAGAAAAATCCAATTTTTTAGATTGGTCGCATAAAAAGTTCGTTGGACGCATAAACTAGACCAACGCCAAAATTTTTTTTCTGCTTCTCTCATTAATAAAAACAAATTTTTGCATAAAAATGATCAAAAAAATTTATTAATGAACTTTATTTTTTATATGTTTTTTTACATATTTTTATATCTTTTATTGTTTTTAATCTTAAAAGTTTTAATTTTCTTTTTTAGAAATTTTTAAGAAAAAAATCTTTTCCATGTTTCCTGCTAGGACTTGTTTCTTTCTTGCTTCAAGTTTGTTTTTGGTTAAAATTAATTACTTGTTTTTAATTTAGAGCGCTTCTATGTGACAAAGCCTCTTCTTAATTTTGGGGCAATTGGAGGTGTTGACTTTGGCAAGGCTACTTTTGCGTCTGCTGTTTCTAAAGGTTATGATTTGAAATATGTTATTTGTGTTAGGCGGATCTGATGTAGGGTCTTTTTTTAGTAAAGTCGAAATTTATGACTCGTCTTTGTTTCTTTTCTCATCCTCTGCTCTGATTCCCTCACAATTCGGGTTTTACCGAGTTTCCACAAAAATTTTTAAACTATTTAAGTTCGAAACTTGGACTAATTCTTTGATTTTTTCCAACTCATTTAGTTGTTTCGATTCATCTCTTTGTGCTATTAACAATTGAAATCGAGTACCTTGTTTATTTAACAGCTCCCTATTTTGTCATTTTTCTGTGAGTAAATTTGGGTCCGATCTCCGCATCCTCTTTCCACGAGCCTGGCTTGTGTAGTTCAAATTTAGGCATTGTTCGGGTTTGATTTCCAGAAATTTTGTGACCATATAAAAATTGACTTAATTTTTATGAATTTTTTATTCAGGAGATGGACATCATGACGCTGAAGAACATCACGAATACTTCCATGGTGTTCCGATAGAGCCAAATCCTGGACCTCCAATTACTTTTGATTATTTTCCTGTTCCGTGCAAGCCGTATAAGGTTTAAAAAATAATTTTTATTTTTTCAAAAAAAGTTTCTTTTTGAGGGCCAAAAAAATTTATTTTTCCTTCTTTAAACAGCCTGTCTATGACGAACTTCAACGCAAATTCAATTTGTGGTTGTTAGGAGGACTTTCTGTTTTTCTCTTCTCGTTGTACATGATTTATGCTACGGATGCTACAGAATATGAGGCTTGGGCTAGGGTAAAAAGTTGGCGTGATCGAAAGAGAATTAATGCTGAATTGCGTGCTAAGGAAGCTGCTGGAGAGAAGGAAGAATAAATTGAAGAAGAGGAGGAAATATATTTTGAGGAGAAATATTTTTAATTGGTTTATTTTTTTCGGTTTATTTTGGTTATAGTGAAGAGGGGTGGAGGTGAATAATAGGAGAGAGGGCGAGGGAAATTTTTATTGAAAAAATTTTTTGGGTTTTCAAAAATTTTTTTTGAAAAAATTTTTCAAATAATTTTCTTATTCCTTCAAATTTGAGAATAAAATTTTTTTATGAATTTTCAATAATAAATTTTTTGAAAATTTCATAATAAATTTTGAAATATTCTTAAAAAATTTTTTTACAAATTTTTTTATTTCTCCAAGTCTATTAGAAAATTTTTTTTGAATAAATTTGGGTCTCACTTCATTAATAAAATTAATATGAAATTTCCTCGTTCCCTCCCTCATTTTTCCCTCCCACCTTTATTATGTTAAAGACGTTAATTTTGTTTGCCTGTCATTAAACTATGTCTTAGTTCAGTTTATTTTTGTGTAATTAAAAAATGAAAAAAAATTCTTTAAAAAAATTTTTTTTATTAATTATTTGAGCCATTAAAATATGGTTTTATATTTTTATTATTTTTTCTAGAGTTGGGGGTTTTCGAGCCGGGCCAACGTTCGAGTCATTTTTTTTGGTTTTTTTTTGGTTATAGTGAAGATGGGTGGAGGTGAATAATAGGAGAAAGGGCGAGGGAATTTTTTCGAATTTTTTCGGGCTTTATTTTAGTGGACTTGCCTGACCGGGTCTTTTTTGGGCCAAAATTCAATGTCCGACTCGATCTTTCGAACCTAGACGGATCGGGCCCCCAACCCTAATTTTTTCGATTTTTCAGGAAATTTTTTTTAATTAATTTTAAAAATTTTCCAAGCAAAAATGATACTTTTCAAGTCTTCAAATTTGATTAAAAACAATTTGTTAAAAACTGTTTTGGTTTCAAATGCTTCAATAACAACACAACAACAAACTCAACAAACACGTCCAAATGTTGTTTTAATTGATGCTGTTCGAACACCTTTTGTTGTATCCAATACAGTTTTTAGAGAACTTTTGGCTGTGGATTTGCAGCGACATGCTTTGAGAGGTTTTTTTTTGGATATTTTTTGTGTGTTTTTCTGGGGGGTTTTTTATGCCTAGTGTCTTAGGTTTTTCCATAAGATTTTTTCGGTGATTGGGGGGGGGGAGTGTCATAATAAAATGTAATTTTCATAAAACGAAAACTGATCCAGTATGTAACCTTTTAATTTTTGGAGCGTGTTATAAAGCCGAAAACGCAAACCCCAAAAGCAGTCGAAATGCCAAATTCAGCATTACAACGTTTTAACATTCATAGCTCTAAACAGACAAAAAATACCAAGGTTATTTTTTACCTCTGGCAAACATTTTTAAATTTTATTCCCTCCTAACATAAGAATTTTTATTTTTTCCCCCTATTTGTGGGTAATAGCATAAAGGCCTATCCGTTTATTTTTAGTTGTTGGTTGAATGTTTCCTAATATTCTCAATTTTTTCAGCTTTGGTTGACCGAACAAATGTACCATTCGAAGATATTGGACATATAATTTGTGGACAAGTAGTTCAAGAATGTAGAACTAGCAATATAGCACGGGAAGCAGCAATTACTGCTGGGTTTCCTGATTCTGTTGGTTTTTTTTATTTTTTAAAAATCTAGAATGGATGCAAGGGCGTAGCCAGTGAGTCGACTTCAGGGGAGGGGGGGCTAAAATGGGGCGTGTTCTTTTTTGGAAGGCGTTTTTTGAGAATTTTTTGGAACCTGGACAATTTTCGACTTTAACTTGATCCGTAGAAAATTTTGAAAGCCTGACTCGAACCTGATCCGAAAAAAAACCTGATCTAGACGTGACATCCCTGATACCTGTTAAAATTCAATTTTAGATTCCTTGCAACACAGTTACTCTAGCCTGTATTTCCTCTGCTATTTCAACTCAAAATATTGCCTCAATGATAACTAATGGATATTTAAAGGCAGGGATTGCTGGGGGAGTTGAGTTACTTTCTGACTTTCCTGTTAGATATAATCGAAAGGTTCGTGGATTTCTTAGATTTTTCAAAAAAAATTTTTGAAAAATAAAAAAATTTCAAAAAAATTTTTGGAAATTTTTTTGAAATTTTTAAAATTTTTCGAAAAAAACCTTCAAAAAAATCTTTCTGAAATTTTCCAACAAATTTTTGTAAATTTTCAAAAAAAATTCTGCGAAAATTTTTTAAAAATTTTTGAAAAATTTTTCTGAAAATTTTCAAAAAAAAATTTTTTTAAAGGCTCGTCTTTCAATGATTGATTTTCAAAAAGCTAAAAAACTCGATGCAAAACTTAAATATGGATTTAAAATGTTGGCTAATTGGTTTACCCCAGAATTACCCGCAGTTTCCGAATTTACAACTGGCGAAGTTATGGGCAATTCTGGTGATCGTTTGGCGGCAGCTTTTTGTGTTTCGCGAAAGTATTTTTTAAATAAATTTTTAGGGGTCTATATCCCAAAGGAAACCACAGGCAATTTTTTTGTCCTCAGAATTAGTCCGCAAATCCGCAAAATTTTTTATCCGCAACTTTTTGTCCGCAACATTTTTATCCGCAAATTTTGTCTGCAAAATTTTTGTCCGCAAATTTTTTATGGACAAAAAAAATTTTTTTATGGACAAAAAAATTTTTTATGGACAAAAAAATTTTTTATGGACAAAAAAAGTTCATTTCTCTCCAGTGCAATTTGACAGCCAAAAGCAAAAAATGTCTTCTTCTGACACCTTTACCCAACTTGCTAATCAATTAGCAGCAATTGGTAAACAAATGGAAAGCAACAGTGGAACCGATAATACGACAACAATGCAGCAAATGTTTCAATTTTGCACCACATTATTGACTCAAATGGCTCAACAACAAAATTTAATTATGGAACAACAACAAACTATTCAAAAACTTCAAATGCGTGACACTCTCCTGGATCTCATTGAAGAAGAAAAACAACAAAAAGCAATCGTGATCACCAATCTACCTGAAAGTAATTGTGAACATGCAAAGGAGCGTGTGGAAGAAGATTTTGAACAAGTCAAAGAAATTCTTGATTTATGCGATGTGGAATGCAGACCAAGTCAAGTTTACAGAATGGGAACAATTTCTGGAAGACCGCGACTTTTGAAGGTGGAATTACCAACCAGGTTTTTTGCAAGAAAATTTTTATTGAATAAATCAAAATTAAAAAATTCTAAATTTAATAAGTTATTTGTTCGTAAATCTTTGTCTAAGGCTCAGCGAGCCGAACGGTCTAGGCTTATTGAAATTTGTAAAACTTTGCATTCTCAAAATCCCAACTCCGATCATGTTATTTATGCTGACCATGTCCTGTCCGCTAAGGACATCCCTTTATTTAAATCAAACCCCAATAATTTTAAATGTGTTTGCCACAATGCATAAGGAGTAAGGGATGGCCACTTTGATACCTACCAGTTGACTAAAAATAAAAATTTTTCAAAAAATAAAATAAAAAGTGGTTTAATAAATATAAGATCAATTAGAAATAAAATGGATGAGTTTTTAATTAGTTTAAGAACACTAGGTTTAGAAATGCTGTTTATTACTGAAACATGGTTAAAAGATGAGGACATAAATTTATTTGAGTTCAAATTTTCAGAATATTATAATATTGTTTATATTAATAGGAAATCCAAACTAGGTGGGGGATGCGCGATACTATTAAGTAGAAATATTACATTTTATGAAAAAGTAAAAATATCCAAATTCAACACAGAAATTATTTGTCTACAAATAAACAATTTTAAGAAATTAAATATAATATTACTTTACCGTCCACCTAACACTAGCTACGCTAGTACAAAATCTCTTTTTAAATACATCGAAACTCTTTGTACCGAAAATTGTATAATCCTCGGTGACCTCAACTTTGGGTTTAAAGATTTGAGCTGGTTTAATTTTACACCTTATGCAAAATCTAAATTAGGTGAATGTTTTATCGATTTTTTTAATAGAAACACTTTAACATCAGTCACACACGAGCCTTCTAGAAATAATTCATTCTTAGATTTGATATTAATTACAAACCAGAATTTAGTATCAAACGTTTTAGTTGAAGGAGGAATCTTTTCTTCAGATCATGAAACATTATTATTTGATATTAATTGTCCAATAAGTAAACAAAATGAGAATAGAATAAAAAAAAGATTTTATAATAAGAATAAAATAAGCAATTTAAACCCATATTTGTCCCTATTATTAAAAAATACTATTTATACTGGGTTTCTAATTGGGGACAAATATAATATAATTGCTAAGTCAATATTAAATTCATTTGACATTTTCATCCCTGAACAAATTATAACTAAAAAAGATCGAAGAATAAAATATCCCGCTCACTTAAAAGCTTCTATAGCTGAGAAAAAGAGATTATACAGGTTACAAAAAATTAATAAGGAATATAAATCAAAATATGACAGTATATCTCTATATATTAGAATCGCTATAAAAAATTTTATTAGTAAACAACAAAACAAAATCATTTCAAATAATCCACTTAATGTTTATAAATATGTTAACAAAGTTTATAAAAACAATAGAGATATACCAGTTATATTATATGAGGATAAAGTCTATATAGAGAATTCTGAAAAAGCAGAACTTTTTGCAGAAATTTTTCACAAAAATTTTAACAATTTTAACTCTAATGTTTCTCGCAATGATATTATTGCTAGCGTTAATTCAGATACTACTTATATATTGAATGATATTGATGTTACAAGTATTGAAGTTTATGAAATCCTAAAAGCCCTACCATCAAAAAACAGCGCTAGCCCGGATGGCATAAATTATCTTATGTTAAAAAATATAAGCATAATATTGGCACCTTATTTATCTGAATTATTTAGAGCTTCATTGGATGAAGGCATTATACCTGACATATGGAAAAAATCATTAGTTATTCCCAGTTTCAAAAAAGGCGAAAAATCTAATCCATTAAACTATCGTCCAATTTCACTTACTTGCTGTAGTTGCAGAATCATGGAAAAAATACTTGTAAAAAATATAATAAATTTCTTAGAGAATAAAAAGTTCTTTAGTTCGGATCAATTTGGATTTATTCGAAGAAGATCCACTACTCTTCAGCTAGTAAGTAGCTTGGAGGATTGGTACGAAGCCTTATTTGAAAAAAAGAATATAGATTGTATTTATATTGATTTTTGTAAAGCTTTCGATAGTGTTCCTCACAAACTCCTTCTTGACAAATTATATGCCTGTGGAATTAGGGGAAAACTACATAGGTGGATTAGTGAATTTTTATCAAATAGAACATATCAAGTAAAAATTAATGATGTTTTATCAAACCCATATGGAATTACCACGGGTGTTCCCCAAGGATCCATTATTGGCCCACTAATGTTTCTAATCTATATAAATGACTTATCCGACGTTATTCCAAACGGAGTCAAAATTAAACTATTTGCTGATGACGTTAAAATCTATAAAGTTTATAAGACTAAAAATGAAAGATTAGAACTAGCAGTTGCCCTTAAAAACGTCGAGGAATGGTCAAAAAAATGGAATTTAGATATATCAGTTGATAAGACATTCGTACTTCATTTAGGTAAAGATAACCCAAGGGATCAATATAAGATTTTTAATAATACTATAAATGAAGTTCAATCTATTCGCGACCTTGGAATAATCATAGACGACAAGCTTAGGTTTAAAGAACACATTAATATAATTATTCGCAACGCCTATCTAAGGATGAAAACAATTTTTAGAATAATAAAGTCAAGAAAAACATCAACTTGGATACTGATATATAAGAGTTATATTAGGCCTATGCTTGAATACGCACCGGAATCTTGGAACACTCTTTACAAAACAGAAATTAATTCTCTTGAAAAATGCCAAAAATTTTTTACTAAAAAAGTTTTTAAAAAATGTAATTTACCCGAACTACCCTATGAGAATAGGTTGGAATATCTAAACCTTCAAACACTTGAGAATAGACGTAAAATTTTTGATTTAATGCTTATGTATAAAATAGTTAATGGTTATTCTCATCTGGGACTTGAAACACTCTTTTCTCATCCTATTAAGAAATCTAGCCATTCTTCTCATAGAATTATTTCAAAAAAACAAAATTCTAAAAGTTCTAGATCATTTATAAATAGAACAACTAAAATGTGGAATATACTAGGTAAAAATACTATTTTAAGTAAATCACCCTTAGATTTTAAAAATAAGCTTAAGTCAATACTTATTGTATAAATAAACTGAGTGTTCTTAAAAAAAAATTAATTAAACTCATCCAGGCTATCTAAAAAAATCTAAAAAAATCCAAAGTTAAAAACTGTATTTTTTTGCTAAATGGGCTTTGCATCTAAGTGGCCAAATTAAATTACCTTGCGACTAAATGGTCAATTAATTTTTATACTTTCGCGTCTAAATGGTCAAATTAATTTATTTTTATTTTCGCGCCTAAATATTCAAATTAATTTATTTTTTTTTTGCGCCTAAGTGGGCTTGGCGTCAAAGTGGCCTAATCGATTTATTCCTTATGCTGTTGTTTGTACTTTTTTATACTCTAGCATTTCTTAGTTGTTTGGATTTTTAATTAAAAAAATTTTTTTATTTTAGACTGAAATAATCTTAAAATTAAATTTACTATAATTTATTTTGCTGTTTTTTTCAGGTTTTTTTTTTATTTTTTTTTTTTATTATATGTTTTATTTAAATTAATACACAGATATACATCTAGGCTAGATAATCTTAAAATTAAATTTACTATAATTTATTTTGCTGTTTTTTTCAGACTTGCATGCCTGGTGTGAAACGTAACCCAGTTCATTTCTCTCCAGTGCAATTTGACAATTAACTTAGTCGTATATCTGTGTATATCAATATCCCTTCATTATGATTATTTTTGTTGAATATTCAGTTAATTTATTACCATTGACCAAATATATATTTTATTAAGACAATGATGTAAGTGTCCATCCCTTTCATTGTCATTTTTATATTGAATAAATAAATTAAAAATTAAATTAAAAATGATACTTTTCAAGTCTTCAAATTTGATTAAAAACAATTTGTTAAAAACTGTTTTGGTTTCAAATGCTTCAATAACAACACAACAACAAACTCAACAAACACGTCCAAATGTTGTTTTAATTGATGCTGTTCGAACACCTTTTGTTGTATCCAATACAGTTTTTAGAGAACTTTTGGCTGTGGATTTGCAGCGACATGCTTTGAGAGGTTTTTTTTTGGATATTTTTTGTGTGTTTTTCTGGGGGGTTTTTTATGCCTAGTGTCTTAGGTTTTTCCATAAGATTTTTTCGGTGATTGGGGGGGGGGAGTGTCATAATAAAATGTAATTTTCATAAAACGAAAACTGATCCAGTATGTAACCTTTTAATTTTTGGAGCGTGTTATAAAGCCGAAAACGCAAACCCCAAAAGCAGTCGAAATGCCAAATTCAGCATTACAACGTTTTAACATTCATAGCTCTAAACAGACAAAAAATACCAAGGTTATTTTTTACCTCTGGCAAACATTTTTAAATTTTATTCCCTCCTAACATAAGAATTTTTATTTTTTCCCCCTATTTGTGGGTAATAGCATAAAGGCCTATCCGTTTATTTTTAGTTGTTGGTTGAATGTTTCCTAATATTCTCAATTTTTTCAGCTTTGGTTGACCGAACAAATGTACCATTCGAAGATATTGGACATATAATTTGTGGACAAGTAGTTCAAGAATGTAGAACTAGCAATATAGCACGGGAAGCAGCAATTACTGCTGGGTTTCCTGATTCTGTTGGTTTTTTTTATTTTTTAAAAATCTAGAATGGATGCAAGGGCGTAGCCAGTGAGTCGACTTCAGGGGAGGGGGGGCTAAAATGGGGCGTGTTCTTTTTTGGAAGGCGTTTTTTGAGAATTTTTTGGAACCTGGACAATTTTCGACTTTAACTTGATCCGTAGAAAATTTTGAAAGCCTGACTCGAACCTGATCCGAAAAAAAACCTGATCTAGACGTGACATCCCTGATACCTGTTAAAATTCAATTTTAGATTCCTTGCAACACAGTTACTCTAGCCTGTATTTCCTCTGCTATTTCAACTCAAAATATTGCCTCAATGATAACTAATGGATATTTAAAGGCAGGGATTGCTGGGGGAGTTGAGTTACTTTCTGACTTTCCTGTTAGATATAATCGAAAGGTTCGTGGATTTCTTAGATTTTTCAAAAAAAATTTTTGAAAAATAAAAAAATTTCAAAAAAATTTTTGGAAATTTTTTTGAAATTTTTAAAATTTTTCGAAAAAAACCTTCAAAAAAATCTTTCTGAAATTTTCCAACAAATTTTTGTAAATTTTCAAAAAAAATTCTGCGAAAATTTTTTAAAAATTTTTGAAAAATTTTTCTGAAAATTTTCAAAAAAAAATTTTTTTAAAGGCTCGTCTTTCAATGATTGATTTTCAAAAAGCTAAAAAACTCGATGCAAAACTTAAATATGGATTTAAAATGTTGGCTAATTGGTTTACCCCAGAATTACCCGCAGTTTCCGAATTTACAACTGGCGAAGTTATGGGCAATTCTGGTGATCGTTTGGCGGCAGCTTTTTGTGTTTCGCGAAAGTATTTTTTAAATAAATTTTTAGGGGTCTATATCCCAAAGGAAACCACAGGCAATTTTTTTGTCCTCAGAATTAGTCCGCAAATCCGCAAAATTTTTTATCCGCAACTTTTTGTCCGCAACATTTTTATCCGCAAATTTTGTCTGCAAAATTTTTGTCCGCAAATTTTTTATGGACAATATTTTTGTCCGCAAGTTTTTTCCGCAAAATTTTTCTCCGCAAAATTTTTATCTGCAATTTTTGTCTGCAAATTTTTTGTCCACAATATTTTTGTCCGCAAATTTTTATCCGCAATTCAATTAAAAATTTTTTTAATTTTAAGAGAGCAAGACGATTTTGCCATTCGTAGCCATACTTTTGCCGATAAAGCAACAAAAGAAAACAAATTAACAGATGTAGTTCCAATGTTTGTGCCTTACGGACCTAAAAAGGGTCAAACAGTTTTGACTGATAATGGAATTAGAGTTTCTACAAAAGAACAAATGGCGAAACTTAAAGCTGCTTTTATTAAACCTCATGGAACTGTGAGGATTTTTTGAAAAAAATTTTTTATTTTAAAGGTGACTGCTGGAAATTCTTCTTATTTGACTGATGGGGTTGGTATTTATTTTATTTAAAAAAATAATAAGGAAGAAGAGCATTACGTTGGGAATTCATTTTTTTAAATTATGAAAAAAATTTAAAAATTCAAAAAAAAATTTTTGCGGACAAAATTTGCGGACAATTCCACAAATATGCACAAATGTATTTAAATATCGACACCTTCTTCACCCAACTATGCTAGAATATGACTCAATTCAGCTTGCGTTCATTTTTGAAATTTATTCTGAAAAAATTTTTTTACTGAAGATTTTTTGTTTCTTACATCATGACGAGTTTAAAAGAGTCGTATATTGTGCCGTCCATGATTTAAAAATTTTTTTTGACTTTTTTGACATTACGGCGTTTTTTTGGCATTTTTGATCTTACAACGTAATTTGGGAGGAGGTATCGATATTTAAATACATTTTTGCATATTTGTTGAGTTGTCCGCAAATTTTGTCCGCAAAAATTTTTTTTTGAATTTTTTAAATTTTTTTCAAATAAAAAAATTTTTTTTGTTAAGGCATCCGCAGCTTTAATAAGTTCCGAATCTTATGCACTTCAAAAAGGATATAAACCCAAAGCTTTTATTCGTGAAACAATGTTTGTGGCTCAAGACCCAAAAGATCAACTTTTGCTTAGTCCAGCTTATGTTATTCCGAAATTGTTGGATAAGGTTTTCTTGAAATTTTTTTGAAGAATTTTAATGATTTTTTAATTAAAAAAAGGCTGGTCTTAAACTACAAGATGTCGATGTTTTTGAAATTCATGAAGCATTTGCTGGCCAATTGCTTGCAAATTTGAAAGCTTTGGATTCTGATTGGTTTTGTCAGGTTTATTTTTGAATTAAAAAAAAATTTTTTTTGAATTTAATTACGGACCAGACATGCACGTTTCGTTAGTTTTTTCCTGTTTCGTTTCATTTCGTCCGAAATAAGTTTTGGGGTTTTGCCCGTGTCTGTTACGAATCTCACTATAAGTTAACCCGATAAGTTAACTGATAGATTTAATTTAAGCGATACCTCTCTATTTAACATACACCTCATTATAAGAGACAATAAAATTTCGTTATAAGATACCCCCAATACATATTAGGTCATTTATATTTAAGAGACTTTTTTGTCCTTTAGTTTGGGGAGCTGCTTAAGCGCTACCTCTCTATTTAACATACATAATGAGCTCATTATAAGGGACAAAATTTTTTTTTGGATTTTCCCCACGTCCAGGAACAGACCCAGGTTTTTCAAAGATCTCGATCTCTTGTCCAAACTTATTTTAAACTTTTATCATTGTTAAAAAAAATTTTTTTTCCCAGAATTACATGAAAAGAAATGCAAAATTTGGAACTCTCCCAATGGAAAAGCTCAATTTGTGGGGTGGTTCGCTTTCGCTAGGGCACCCATTTGGCGCCACAGGAGTTAGACTTTTGGCCCATGCTGCTAATCGTTTAAAGGATGAAGGTAAGGAGGGGGGGTATTAAAAATGAAAAAAAAATTCTAAAAAAAGGTGGTCGTTATGCAGTAATTGCTGCATGTGCAGCTGGAGGGCACGGTGTTGGAATGCTTGTTGAGGCATATAAATAAATTTAAAAAGAAAATTTTAAAAAAGAAAAATTTTTTTTGGAAACAGCGAAAATTTTTCAGACTATATTTTAGCATATTTTTTAAAATTTAAAAAATATAGAGGGAATTGCCTATTAAAAAGTAAAATATATTTTGTAATAATAATTATGTTTATTTGGGATTGCACCGAAAAAATTCCCGATTCCCGAAAATCTAGAATTCCCAACGTTTTTCTGTCGGTGCGATTCCTGAGTCCAGAAATCTGGAATTTTGTTTTTCTGTCGGTGCGATCCCTGGTGTGTATTTAAAATTTGGGATATTATTCTATAAAAATTTGGATTGTATTTTTTGTAACGGAATAAAAATAATCGAATACCCCTAGTTTTCTGTTCTGAGTTTTAGACAAATACCAGTTTTATTTTTGGGAAATTTTTAATTGTGAACAACCCTATATTGAGTATTTTTTTTCTTGACCGTCATCTAATTTAAAATAGAAAAAAATTTTTTCATTAGCTACTACAATATCCTATTTGGAAATTTTTTTTTTCAAAATAAATATCTCCTTAAAAAATTTTTTTTCTATTTTTATATTCTATTTTTATATTCTATTTTTAAAAAGAAAATTGAGAAGTTATTTAAGTATAATTTTCTTGACTTATGATCGTCTCATAATTTTTATATTTCTTTTTATCGTTAGATAACGTCATCAAGCTTTTATTTTTTCTTATTTTTCTAATTTTAATTTTATGATTAGAAAAGGATATTGGGGGGATTTAAAATATATTTTATGAGAGAAGAATAGAGGGGAAAAAATAAATAAAAACAAATGTTCCCCTAAAAATATAAAAAAATTTTTATATTAAAAATGGAAGGAGGGAGGGTCTTTAAGCCTTGAAAATAAAATTTTTTTAACAACTTAAAGTAAAGGAAGAACACTTGTCACGTAAATAAAAATAAAGGTAAATCCTTATTTAATCCTCCCTTGCCAAAAGACATTTGGCACTAAAAAAATTTTTTTATTCTTGACTTTTCTCCTTTAAATTGATTTTTAAAAATATAAATTCGATTTTTAGTTGTTAAATGTTTCAAGTTTTAAAGTATTTAAGTTGGTAATTCTGATTTGATGTAAATAACAATAAATAAAATGTATTTTAGTGAAAATACAAGAATATTCTGATTTTGAAAATAGAATATTCTTGTATTTTTAAAAATCAGAATTCTGATTAGAAATAGCAATTCTGGTTTTAAAAAAAATAGCAATTCTGGTTAATTCTGGTTTAGGAAATAGCAATTCTGTTATAGCAATTCTGGTTTTCTGATCAGAAACGGGAATTCTGATCCTTAAAGATCAGAATATCTGAGAAAGACAGTTTAAAAATCAGAATTAAAAATCAGAATTCTGATTTTGAAATGAAATTCTGATTTTTTGGAATTCTGATAAAAAAATCAGAATTCTGAATTTTCAGAATTCTGACTTTCTTAAATCTGAATTCTGAATATTCTGAATTTTCTCTGCCTTTTGCTTTTCAGGATTCTGATAAAAGAAATCAGAATTCAGAATTTTTTCCTAAAATATTCTGATTTTATTTAGATTCTAATTTTGTATTTCTGAAAACATTTTTCTTGTTGAAGAATCAGAATTTTTCTTAGCCAAAAAATGCGTTGTTCCCTTCACTCTACTTTTATTATCCTTCCCCTTATAATTTTTCTCTTCACAATTTTCTCCACTTTTTGTTCTGCCGATCTTCAAAATATAACAGTTCGAGGTCAGGCAATTTGCCGACGTCGAAGTGTTAAAGGATTGCATATTGAATTACGTGAACATGATACTTTTGATCCAGACGATTCTTTATCTACTACAACTACTGGGCCAGATGGAACTTTTGAAGTTAGGGGTTCCGAGAATGAGGTGGGATGTGATTTTTATGTGTACTTATTAGGGGCGCATTTTTAAGAGAAGATACAGTACTTCGTGATAGACGGGAAAGGGAATGTTGTGTAGCCTAAGGCTCGGAACCTGGGAGCTGTTCAATTTTTAGGAATAGGGGTACTGCTAAAAGCAGGAAGGGAGGTTCACCTATCAAATTTTCTTTTTAAGGTTGGTTCAATTCGTCCATACCTTCGCATAACGCACAAATGTGACGTCTCCGACGATATGGTAATTAATAAATCAGAATTTTAAAATTCTTGGCCCATAATCCCTTCGTGTATAAGATCACTTACTGATCGACCAGATTAGACCCTTGGGTTCTCTCAGAAATAAGTTGGTATAGGACTCCGTTGGAAATATTACCTTCTACAGTTCGCTCCTTGAAGCACTAAAGCTTCCTATAAATCAAAGACTGGTTAAGTCCGAGAGATATAAAACCTTTGGGAGACCTTTGACCTCTCTTAAGGAGACCTTTTCTGTTATAACTCACGATAAATTTGATCGCTATAAAATCACCTTGGAAGGGATAGGGCAGAGTATGAGTCGACTTATAAGCAAAAAATAAAAACAAAATTTTTCCTATTTTTTAAAGAAATGTCGACGAATAACAGAAATTGATATACCAAAAGAAAAGGTTAATGGAATCTATGAAATGGTAAAAAAATTTTCCTTTGAAAAAAAATTTTTTTTCAATTAAGAATTTTGTCAATTTAAATTTGCCTGGACATAGAGATAAGGAAACGTGTGACGATTAAACTAATTATTTTAGAAAGATTTATGGACTTGTCATATAATTTTGTGCGTTTATTCTGCCTTATTTGCCATATTAAAATTAACTATACAGTCGGACCTTGTTTGTAAATACACCCAAAATTAGGTGCTTCTTGATTCAAGATACGAGGTCTAAAAATATGACTGGTCTCCAGAGCTGTGCGCCAAAAATCTTTACGTGGCGCGCCAAACGCCAAAATTTTTTTTTCAAATTCTTAAAACACGCCAAACATCAAAATGCCAATATCGTCCAAAAATAACGCCAAAACGCAAATTCATGGCGCACAGCTCGGCTGGCCTTTGGCTCTTTGATACTCGATTTGCCCTTTGATAATCAGCCTAAGGGAGGGATGCCTAAGCGATATCCCTCTATTCAAGATACACCACATTCTAAGAAACTAATTTCCGGTTCCAAAGGGTGTAATGAGGTCCGACTGTATTTCAAAAATTTATATTGAAACTTTTTTAAATAAAATTATTGCTCTTCAAGAAACTTAATCCTCTTAAAAGTGTGAGAAAAAATCCATTCGTTTTTCTCTAACTCCAGCCTCGGCACTTTCGTGTTCCTCTGATTGGTGTCGATTACGACGAGTATGAGCCAATGCCATTTGATATTTTCTGAAAAAAGCCGGGTTTTAAGTGGGACTTGAATGGCTTTTTAATATTCTGGGGACATTTTTAGACTAAAATAACTGTTGAGACTCAAACGTCATATCCCCACATCTGAGTCTAACTCAAGACTCAAATGTCAAAAATATCTCAAATAGCCTGAGGGAACAGGATTTTTGACAATTTCATCGTCCTCGGATACATCATCCCTCTCCAACAATGGCTGATCTTTTTGAAATTGTCTCTCTTCCTCTCCATTATAAAGTGGCTGTGCGAGAAAATCAAATTGTAACGATTTGCTTTTTTGCCGTCCAGTTAATTCAAGAAGGAGAACGAAATTTTCATTTTTCATTACAGCACCGGGCACGAATAGAGTCATCTTTAAGGTATCGAAATGGTCAAAAAATTATTTAAGAGCCCCTAACCTGTGGGCCTAACAACGGCCAATACCGCCCAACATTAAACCCATTCACCATAGCAATGCCATGCCCCCACCCTCGAGAATCAAAAAATGTATGGGCCAATCTCCAGTCTACATCGGGAGTTGTGAATTTGGCTGCATATATGGCAGGTTCATCATAGGTAGGTTGTGGAGGTTCGATGCTTAATTATTTAATAATTTTTGAGACTCAAATGCCCACTATTTAAGCCCCACCTTGATGATCCTTTCAAAAGTTGTTGCTCCAAATATGCCTCCTCAAACAGCAAAGAACCAGCTGTGTATAAAGCATCTATTGAAACGCCACATTGTGTCCAATAATTACTAACTGAGATACCACCCAAAATTACAGGGGAAAGAATACCCTTCAAAAAGAAAATTTTTCATTTTTAAAAATTCCGATAACCTTTGGATCAACTTTAGACAGTGGATAGGTTAATCGTCCAGCATTTTCTACAAGTATATCTAGGCGTTGACCAGCACGAGCGTTTATCGTTACTCTTTGAGAGCAGCCAGTTCTGTCACAGACGGTTATGTTTCCCTAGAGAATGGGGGGGGGGGGCTGTTAGTGAATTTCTACCCTCCCTCCCCCCTCCCCCCCCTCTAACCTTAAATTTCCCGTCCACAAAAATATAAGCATGATCCTTCACTACAGGTATAGTCAACACAGACCCTCCTATTTCAAGGACTGTACTGTACCAAACAAAAGCATGGTCTCTATCGAAAACTTCAAAGTTTAGAGGGCGAGCCCCATTTGAATGTATACATTGTTGTTTTGTATGGGTGGAGTTTAGGAGTTTGATGAAGTTTGGAAGACGCAGGGCTGTTATGCCGTTTATTGCAATTCCTCTGAATAAAAATTTAAATACAGTATTTTGTCTCTCAATTCTGCCCACTATTTCATCCTTTCTCTAACCTATCTCTCAATATTTCTCACTATTTCATCCTTTCTCTAATCGTCTCTCAATTCCATCCAGTATCTCACTTTTCTCTGACCGTCTCTCATATCTAACCAATATCTCTTTTCTTATCGCCTCTCATATTCACCCACTATCTTATTTTTCTCTAAATGTCTCTCAATTCTGCCTATTATCTCTCTATTATTTAACCGTCTCTCATTTTCTCCCACTCATTCTCCTCTAAGTCTCTAGTGCTTTTCCACTATCTCATCTTTCCCTAACCGTCTCTCAATTCTGCCCACTATCTCATTTTTCTCTGACCCAGTTTTTCTCTAGCCGTCTCTCAAACTACCCACTATCTCATTTTCCTCTATCCTACTCTCAAAAAATACCCACGTTCTGTTTGGCGGTAGAGGCAAAGGAGTATTTGGCCAGCCTTGTTTTGAGCCAATCCAATTTCTGATTGCTCTATATAATGGTGTTATTTGCCCTTCTTCGCTTATTGGGGCAGCATAATCGTATGAAGTTATCACCTTTTAGAGAAATTTTTTAGATTATTTTTCTAGACATACAGGTCCATCTGGTTCTCTCCCATTCCAGAATCCAAAATTCGTTCCACCATGAATCATGTAGAAACTGAGAAATAATTTAAGACTCAAGTGTCCTAAAAACGCCTCAAGGGGAAAACCTGGCCGTTAGAGTCCCAGCAAGAAATTATTTCAGACTTTAGTGTCCCAAAAACGTCTTATGGTACCATTAGAGTCCAAAAATAAAAAAAGTTCAGACTCTAGTGTCACAAAATGAAAGCCTGGCCATTAGAGTCCCAAGAGTCAAGAAAGGTTATATTCTCACCTGAAAGAGGCATTCAACTGCCACATAACCTCTATCGAATCAACAACATTTTTAATATCTTGTCTAGGCACAGAACGATCTCCCCACATTGAAAACCAAGTCGTATAAAATTCAGAATTTACATTCGGCCCTCCACCAGAAAATTTTCTTTGAACTTGGAATTTTTTGCTAGCAGAGTCTATAGTTTGGGGAGCACCAAAGTCAACAGTCTTTTAATTTGCGAATATTTTCTTTTAATTTAAACAAATTACGGGGAAGGTGCCTGGAACGGAGCCACATCGCACCATATTCTCGTTAAAGCCATCGGCTGTAAAGGGAATATTATGGGGGAAATTAATTTTTGGGCAATTAGAAATTAATCTTTTTTTGGACATTTTGTACTCTTGACATTTTAAAATGAAAATGATTTTTGGCATTTTGTCGTTTTGACATTTTGAAATAAATTATTTTTGGGCATTTTGTACATTTGTAATTTTGGGTACTTGTGTAGTTTACACCCCATAAGCCCCGCCCCTTTTTCCTTTATTGTTTTCTTTCGCTCTTCCTGCTACATATAAAATGCCCATTTGGGTCGATATTTTTATTAGAATTGTCTTCTAAAGAAAAGGAAGAGAAGATAGAATGGCGGGACTTATGGGGGGTAAACTACACAAGTACCGTCATTTTGAAATAAAAAATGATTTTTGGCATTTTGTCGTTTTGACATTTTGATATTTTGAAATTAGAAGATTCCTACTTGTATAAAGCACCACATCATTCCCAAGTTGTTCCCTAACAATATCCCTTAACCAAATTGTATAAGCATGGTCACAGAGAACAGAACCATATTCATTTTCGATCTGCAACATAATAATAGGACCTCCATTCTTGTAGAGGAGAGGACGAAGCAAGGGGAGAAGTACATTAAAATAGCGTTTGACATAGCTGAGATATCTGAAAATGTGTGTGATTTCTGATTGATCTGATTTTTAGAGGTGTTCTGATTTTTGTTCTGATTTTTAAAATATTCTGATTTCTGTTCTGAAATTGTTCTGATTTTTAAAAATTGTTCTGATTCTTATTCTGATTTTTTTAAAAGTGTTCTGATTTTTGTTCTGATTTTTTAAAGAATATTCTGATTTTATGTTCTGATACTATTGAAAAAATATTCTGATTTTGTTCTGATATTATCTGATTTTTTTGCGTGTGTTTCAAAATTGGTTACTGTACTGTGGGAAGAGCCTTTGAAAATAATTTTTAAAAAGGCGCCATTAAAATAACGCCAACTCACAAAAACTATACACTCTCTCACCTAACGTTAAACAGAGAAAAATAAATTTTAGAGGACGCTTTTTATTTTATAAAAAGGTAGAGATGTCTCTCTTCTTTTATTACACTATTTCTTTCTTTTTTTATCTATTTTCCTCTGTTGCTTATCTTTCGATTTTTCCTTTTTTATTTTCTTGACGGGCATTTTTGCTCGATTAATTTTCTTTTTGATTTTGATTGGTTTACCTTTTGATTTTTAAGGAAGTTTTCTAATTAAAAAAATTTTCAATGGCTCCCCAACCAAAACAAACGAAAGGAAAGACTGGAGGAGAGACGAAAGCGGTGGCAACTGCTTCCAAGGGTGCTTCTGACAGCAAAAAGCGTGTTGTAAAGCCGGGAGGGAAAGGTTTTTTTAAATTTTTTGGGGTTCTCTGTACAATCAGACCTTACTACAAGTTACACCCAATACTGTATGGACCTCTATGTAGGACGGTTTTTTTAAAATATGGTTGGCCACAGGGCGAGGGACGGGGATGGGACGTGTTATTCGAAATCAGTTACCCGAAACCCGAATATTTTTCGGTCTCGACATCCTAATCCAAGAAATTTTCGGAAACCCGATTCTAAGTCCTTGGGCTTTTTTCTCTACTCTGCCCCTCTCTGGTAGCCCCTTTCGTGGGGAGCTTCATAAGCGACGCCTTCTATCCAACATACCCCCTTCATGAGCGATGCCCAGCTAGGAGATAATCATTCAGTCCCAAGGGGGGTATATCTCTTTAAATGAGGTGTCAGCTTGTACTGCTCGAACTTGTCAATTTTTACTTTTTCAAAATTTAAGACCGCAAGGCCGTCACCAAAGCTTTGGACGCAAAGAAGAAATTAGCCAAAGGAAAGTTTACTCTTCACAAAAAGAAAATCCGAACTTCTGTCCACTTCTACCGTCCATCTACTTTGAAGCAAGCCCGTGCACCTCGTTATCCTCGCAAAGCTGTGCCCAAACGCAACAAACTCGACGCTTTTGCGGTCATCAAGCATCCGCTTACGACGGAATCGGCAATGAAGAAAATTGAGGTTTTTTGGGGTTTTGAGGGGGTTTGTGGGCTCTTTGGGTATCTAGTTTTGGTCGAGTAGAGGGTCTGGACTCTGGTATTTATCCTGGAAGTTTAGGAGATAGAAAAGCCTAGCCAACTACCAAGAGAAAAAGTCAGGGGTCAAAAAGTCACTTTTTCCGGCTTAGGTTTGTTTATCTCATAAACTACAGGTCCAGGGTTCGTCAGAAACTAAGCATATAGAAGCAGGGGAGTAGTCGGGTTATCCGGTCCGAAACTCTGACTTTTTTTAGTTCGAAATCCGACCTAACTTTTTAGCCGTCCCATATCTATCGGTCACTCTGTTAAGTAGGTTGGAATATGGAGGGGATTTTTAGAGGCAATCACACAATTATTGGGACCCTTTCTGGATCATTTTTTGTTGAAAATTAATTCCCAGGGAGAAAGGAAGGGATTTAGTCACTTTTTTTGTCTAAAAACTGACTTAGAAATTTTTTTCAGGATACAAACACGCTTGTGTTTATTGTGGATGTTCGTGCGAATAAACACCAAATTAAGAGTGCTGTCAAGAAACTTTACAATATTGAAATTGCTAAGGTTTTTCTTTAAATTTTTTAAAGAAATTTTTCAAGAAATTCAAGCAGTACAAGTAGATGAACATGTTCATCTACTTGTACTGCTTGAAGTTGATGGACTTTTTTAATTTCTGTTAAATCCCCGTTATTTTAAAGGTCAACACTCTTATCACTCCTCTACACACTAAAAAGGCTTATGTTCGTCTTGCTGCGGATTGTGACGCTTTGGACGTTGCCAACCGTATTGGAATTATTTAAATTTGATTTTGTGTTAATGACAAAAATTGTTGGTTTTTAATGTTGGTAAAATATTTATGTTGTTTATTTTGAGCCATTTTTTGTGGGAATTTTTCAAGAAATTCAAGCAGTACAAGTTGATGAACATGTTCATCTACCTGTACTGCTTGAAGTTGATGTCCCGAAATTTTATCATCTCCAGCCATTTTTGTGGCAGTTTTTCAAGAAATTGGAGCAGTACAGGTAGGTGAACATGTTCATCTACCTGTTTCTGTTCATCTACTTGTACTGCTCTAACTTGAGGACTCGATTTTTTGGTAAACAATGGGTACTAGTTAACAAATAGTTTAACTTTACATACTTTTTGTTTGAAGTCCTCAATTCAATATTTGCCTGGTCTTTAATTAACCACCATGGTAATCCACCAAATTCAATTTCTGCACAGACATAGGGCCCAATACGTAGTAAAACATACAGACCATTATGCTGTGCTATTCGTAAAAATTCGACAAGATCCCGGTCTCCACCGAAGTTGAAACTAGAAAATGATTTTTAGGTGGCGTTTTGACCGTTTTCTGAAATTGACCATTTTGAAAAGTTGACATTTTGAAATTTTAGAAATTTTTAAAAAATCGATAACCTAGCTGGTTCCTCCTCGTGAAAATTCCAAGGAACATAAACTTGAACGGCATTGAGCCCAGCAGCTCTCACCTTGTAAAGTCTGTCGTGCCAAAGCCAGGGATGGATGTGAAAAAAAAGGGAAAAAATTAGTTGACATTTTGAAAAAAATTTTTTTTGAAAAAATTTGGGGGGAAAATGTAACGTTAACACCCCGGGCCCGTAGAATAAATTCAAGGGTAAGGTTACCCGGGTAGCGGCAGCGCCGACTTGACCCTAAGCAAAGGGTTTGGCGCCGCTACCCGCTTCTTATTCTCCCTATTTAGGAAAAAATTCATAACTTTTTTTTAAATGGCGATAAAAATTTTATTTTTTTGACAAAATATAAATGGGAATGTTAGCTATGTTTGTCCAAAAAATCAAAATTTTTGACCGACTTATCTGAGAGTTATGAATTTTCTGGCAAGGTACTACTTTTCCTTAAAAAATGACTAAAAAATGAGGTACTTTTTGCTAAAAATTGCCATAAATTGATTTTTATAGGAAAAATTCCAAAATTTATACCATTAAATAGAGGACATTTCAAACTATCTAAAAATATTAAATTTATAATTTTTCCATGAGATTTCGATTTTTAAGGATTTTTTAAATAAAATGTCTACACTGCCCCTTAGCAGTGTAACAATTTTACCCTCGACCTCTACCGTATCCTTTTCCTTTTTCTTTTCTTCTCCATTTTTTCGGCGCAAGGATTCTTCTCTTTTTTTTGTTTTGTGGGGGAAAAGTTACTCGGGTAACTTAACCCCGAATTTATTCTACGGGCCCCGAAGGTCTTCCCTCAACTTTATCTGCCCAAATATTTGGAGTTGTCCTATGGGGGAATTTGTTCAATAGGGTGTTGGCCAACTGGTTGGGGCCTTTTGGTTCGGCTTTCTGGGTGATTCCAAAAATTTTTTTAAACATATCCGAAAATAATGGATTTCTCCAGAAATATAACGAAACGGTTTTCCATCCATTAAAAAAACATTGGCTTCTTTGTCTATTGTAAAGGTTCTAGTCGTCTTTCCAATGGTTGTAGTTGTTATTTGTTGTAAATTTGCAATAGAAGAAAAAATAAAAATTAAAAAAATTGAAATTGAAATAGAAGCCATTCTTAAATATTAAAAAAAATTTTTTTGTTGATCAGTTTTGGAAAAAATAAAAAATTGAAGGTTCTGAAAGGAAAAACAAGTCAAAAAACCCCGGGAGGAGTCGAACCTTCGACCCTTTTCGATTAAATAGTGTTGTAGCCAAGGAACATACCGACTTAGCCAACAAAGGTGTTATAAGGAATTCTCAATTGTCTGCCTATATGTGTTAATTAAAAAAGGTAAAAGCAGCAAGTGAATGCAAGAAGCAATTTATTAACCCAATTAAATGTGTTAATTCTTGTTTTAATTAATTAATGAACAGACGTTCAATAGACACCCCCGTTTCATTTTTAATTAATAAAATGAAAAATGAAAAATAATCAACAATCAGAGTAAATGGAAAATGTAAAGAAAATATTAAAAATAATTTTTTTGTTTCTTCTCCCCCAAAATTGAGACGCTAATTTTGCTTGTTTCAGGTATTCAACCTTCTTCGTTTCATTCTTCATCTTGTAGCCTTATCCAAGCTTTATTTTTTATTGTTTCAATTATAAGATTTGAGGGAGGGCAATTAATACAGGTTAGGTATACGGTATTCGTCCCTTCCATTCTTAATCTCTTGTTGTTCTATACCTTATCTTCTCTTCCTTCATTTCTTACTTCTTTATTTATTTTATTTTGCTATCTTGATAAAAAAATTTTTATTACTATGTATTTGCTTTATTTTTTCAATAAAAAAATTTCAATGAAAAAATGATTAATTTTGCTGATTAGCAACACAATGTAAAATTGTTATTTAAAAATAAAATGAAAAAAGAATAAAATAAAAATTAAAGAAATTAATAAAAAATTTAATGAAAATTAAAATAAATTAAAAAAATTTATACAAAAAAATTTACGAGCTCTCAATTGTTTTAATGATAAAAAAAATAATTTATCAAGAGTTAACAGAGCATTTGAATGTCCATGTGTGAGTGTCAAAGGGTCTATTTTGGACCATAACTTTTTTGTTTCTCAACGGATTTGAACAATTTTTGAATTAATCGAAAGCTCTGAATGTGCTGATTATTATAACTAAAGAGAGTGAGTTGATCAGAAATTTGTAAGAAAAGTTACAGCCGGGTAGGTGAGCGCAATCGTGATTTTTGGTCTTCTTCTGTCTGTAACTTTTTGTGTGATAAACTGAGCTTATCTGTCCTTTTAGTAATAATAATCCTCACATTCAGAGCTTTCGATTGATGCAAAAATTATTCAAATCGGTTGAGAAACAAAAAAGTTATGGTCCAAAATAGACCCTCGGCACACAAACGTGTATCGAATATTTCTTCCATCAAAATTCTTCTCATCATCTCATCAGCTTAATTGTTAGTATGGGTTAGTGTTTGCATGAGAGGTTTTACACCTCTAAAGTAATCTTCCGGTTGAACAACAAACAAAGATTTTTCACTTTTCTCGATTAATTGCCCTCCATCTAAGAAAAAATAATAGAGAAAAAATGGTCAAGTCCAATCTCCTTATTAGGGTTGCCGGCCAAGTCCAAAAGATCGAGTAGGGCATCGAATTTTGGCTCAAAAAAGACTCGGTCGGTCCGGTCCGAAAAATGAGGCCCGATAAAAATGATTTGAACGTCGGCCCGACTCGAAAACGGCAACCCTATTCCTTATATACCTTGCACGTGAGTTTGAATATCTAGCGGATGAGTTTGCGGATCTGGAAGATCTGTAGGTGTGTAGGAAGGGATGGGAAGCTTATTATGCCTGAAAAGAGGGATTATTATATTCGGGTTCATGCTGTGGAAACATTTATTGGATGGGAGAACCATCATGGAAAGGGCCAAGGGCCTAAGGGACCAACCTAAGCACAGCAGACTGTGCCACAATCCAACCCGATGATAAGTTGTTTATTTTTTAGAGAGCGAGATTTTCAAAAAATCTTGACCTTAATCCTTGGCCTTGATTTCGGTTGAATCAAGAAACTCTGAAAAATGCCTGGGGGGGGGGTGAAGAAATAAGTACCGATTTCGGTTGTTACCTTGACCAGATTCTTGACCTTGAGTCAAGGAAAAATCAAGGTCGATGAGAAATCAAGGAACTCTGAAAAATGCCTTGATCTGGACTCTGGATCCAGGAAAAATCAAGGTCTGGATCCAGCTCCCTCTCTGTTATTTTCATTTATATTCTTTCTGTAAGTGCGGGCACAACAAGGAGGATTGTCTAACTAAAATTCAGAACTAACCTAGTTGAAAGATACCCTCTTGGAGCTGGATATTTTTTATGGTGAGGGTTGACTGTAATAATATTTATTGGGGCATTATGGGGTTGAAGAGGGTGATGATTTAAATTACCACCCTTCCCACTTCCTTCAACAAGTTGAGAATAAAATTTAAGCAAAACAGTCAAAATAAAAATTTTTAAAAATTTTTGGGAAGGCATGGGAATTAATAAACAAATTTTTTATAGAGTAAAATGAATATTAAAAAAATAAAAAAAATTTAGAGGGGAGAAGAGAGGGGAGAGGTTAATTTAAAAATTAATCAATTTTTTAAGGAGTGAGGGAGGGATAAGCAATTTTGCTATATAGAATTTCCAAAAGATCAACAAACATGTAAAAATAAAAAGTTTTGCATGTCTTCCATCTCCCAAAAAACATTCAAAATAATTTTTTTCAAAAATTTTTATCAAATAGATAAGTTACTGTAGAATCCGCTTAGACCAGGTTTTATAGACTGTTTTTAATGTAGTTTCGAATGAGCTATAGTATATCCAAATCCGTCATGTATTCGCATAGAAACACCTTTTTAGATCGTTTAACCCCCGCCTAAGCGTTTTAAATGCTGCTGTCGGTCTCGATTCACGGTCCTTTTTTAACTCCCGACCATCACTAATATACATATGCCAATTATTTATTTTATTAAGCGTTGAAATAAATGGATAATTATAGCCTTTATAATTGCTTTTTAAAAATGTAAAGTAAAGTAAAGCGGTTGGTCCCGTTCCCCAGTGCCTTGTTGTTCAGTTGATATTATTAGCAGAGCCGCGCATGTTGCAATCATGTATGAACTCCGCAGAGTATAGAAATAGGTGAATCGCACGCAGTGGGGGAATATAGGGAGAGCTCTTCCCTATAGACTCGATGGATTGGCCGGCCGGCAACTCTGTTGAATGAATGAAGAAGTGATCCACCTTTGCCTATTCCTTTAGGGCTTATATGCACCAGCCTACTTCCTTATTGCTTTCCCAAGGATAAGTTAGTGGCGATGCTAAGCTTAGATAATGGGCGGCTAATAACTCTCTGGGAATGGCCGTTTGTAATATTCTTTGCACCTTCCTGCAAACTTCCGTTAACTAGAGCGACATTGCTCTTCACGTGTTTTTAGGATGATATCCGCCTTACACCTCTAACCTTCCAATAGACCGTCCCTGGTCGTTAAGATTTGACCATCCTCAACACCTCTAACCTTCCAATGGACCGTCCCTGGTCCTCTTTTTATTTTATTTTTATATTACATGAATCCCTCAGGATTTAAATTTTTTGTAAAATATTAATTCACTTGTTTTTTTTTGTTACATGTGAGAGTCCCGCAGGACTTATTTATTTTGCATCATACATAAAAATTAGTATAGCGTTAAGAGAAATTTTTTTTTAATTTAACGAGATTATGAAGCGCGAAAATATTAAGTAAAACTGTAGGAGAGTTCAATTAGTAAGGAACGATATGATTGATATTCGGTGATTATAAAATAAACTTGTGCTCACTCGATGTATAAGACCTTAAATCATGACTTTTACTGAATATATCATAAAATTTTCTGCAAAGATTTCCATATTATTGAGATTTTCCCTTGATACTGAGGATTTGACAGAATCATTTTTTAATGTGGGATCTACTTCAAATCTAGTTTTCATTAGTGAGTCCCGCAGGACATTATTTTTTGACGATCATTCAATAACTATTTCGATCTGTTCTGTAGTATGTTTTTCCTTTTCAATCGCTAAGCATTTGCGTTATATTAGCGTTATTGAAAGGTTTGTGGGGTTACAAATTATACGATTTATTTCATTACTGATGGGGTTTGATAATGTGGAAATGGTTTAAAGATTTTTGGCCTTTTGAAACCCCATTCAAGTTTTTTTTTTGTTCCAAGGTTTCAAAATTTTGAAATTAGTGGCTAATATACGTTTATCACATATTACCATGCCTATGCCCATGATATTTAAGCACAAATAAGGAGATGCTGTAGGCCACCTCAGTGTTTTGTTGTTAGTTCATTGATTTTGCTGACAAGGTCGTTTAATATTTCACCTTGTTCTTTAAGCATTTCTTTGATTATGAGTTGTTCTTCGACGACTTCTTCTAGTGTTGGATATTGTTCCTGGGTCAGTCGTTTCCTATAATTGATCTCGAAATGACCTACCTTGTCACAATAGTTGCATATTGGTTTGTTGTTATATTGTTTGATTGTTTCACTCTTTAATTTGCGTGAACCCCACAGGGTTTTATTGTAACTATTTTCATTTGATTCGTAGTTAGTGTTTGCCTTCAATGAAGTGCTTTGATCATTGATTAGGCATAAAGGACTGAGCATTGGATATGAGTTTGCGCATAACATTAGTTCTGCCTCTTGAGCATTTAGGAGTAGTGTGTCGAAGTTCGTCCTGTTAGGCCCAGTCAGTGTTCTTGTGAGGAATTGAAGATTTGGGCTAAGCTTTTCAAGGAAAATTCTGCAAAGCGTTTCTTCCGAGACATTTCCTTTGTTGTCCAGGAAGTTGCTTCTATCATAGGAATTAATCTGGAAGCAAATTGCTCTACTGATTCTCCTTCATTCTGTTTGCATATGCTTAAAGCTTTGAAGATAAGTTCACGATTTTGTGTTGTATCTAAATTTTCTTTTATTTTGTTAATGGCTCCCTCGAGAGTTGTTTTTTCAGCCTGGGGTATTTTGTCAAATATTCTTCGTGCCTTTCCGTCAAGACATACTTTGAGGCGGGCAATTTTATCACTTTCACTCCATTTACCATTGCATTCGATTATGTCTTTGAATTTCCTCGCCCAGTTTCCGAACTCAATTACTGAATTGCCCGAAAAAATTGTGAATGTTGGAGAGTTCTCTGTCGAAAGCATACCAATATAATGGAATCCCTCAGGATTTTTCTTGAATTCTTTAATGGCTCCCGCAGGAGTTTTGATTGTATTATTGTTTCTTGAAGAATGTGAGGATCTTTCCTCATGAGTAAGAAAAGACATTGAATTAGTCGAGATTAGAATTTAATAATAAAAATTTCTAAACCTGAAAAATCAAAATAAATAATATAAAAATAATTAAAATGATTAAAAATGCATTAATATATGAGAACCCCCAATAATGAAAGTATTAATGAGTGGAAGGATATAGATGAGATTAAGATTCGAAGATATAAGTTTTTCTAAGTTCTAGCTTTCCCATTGACTAATTTTTTATTTATTGGAGTGAGATTAGATAAGGTTTGTAAAAGTAATATGATTATTTACTATCTGGGAATTGTTTGCTTTAAAATTAAAAGGAAGAAAATTTTATTGTAAAATTGACTTCCGATCACTGAAAAGATATTAATGTGGCTTATAGTAATAATTCCTGTGGGAAACATAAATAAATAATAGAAAAATAAAAAAAATTAGTTTTTTGAATTTGTGTAATAAAGTAGATTTTCTTATGGACTTTGTTCAAGAAAAATTAATTTTCCCTAACAGATTTTTTGTATATTTTCGATTTTGGGAAAATTGAAGGGAAATTTGGTTAATTAAAAAGAGGAAAAAAGGAGCATTAAAATGTTTTCTAGAGAGAGACTGATTTAAAATTAGAAAAATTAGAAAAAAAATTTGTAAAAACGAGAAATAGAAATTTAATGTCTGCCCTCCGAATTTCAGTATTAAGTGGAACCCGCAGGTTATGAAGAAAACTGTTTTATGCTTTGAGAAATAGATTTTTTTACATATTAGTATTTTTGAGGGCCCACGCAAAGATTATTTTCGCTATGGAATTTTGTTTATCCTCGTGTGAAAATGTTTCATTTTCCCCTCAGAATTGATATTTTTTGGTGATAAAATTAGACATCGGACACTTTATGTAATTAAAAATGATTTTGGATCTTTTATTCACAAAAAAAATTTGCTCAATGATCCAAAAATGAATTAAAATCAAAAATTAAAGAGAGAATTAAAACCAATAATTAAAACCAAAAAATAATTGATTGCTTTAAAATTTTGGGTTCTAATTTGACTTGAAAATTGTTTCGAATCTTTTTTATATTTTGTGTGGCCTCCGCAGAGGTTATAGTCTTTGCTAAATACATACATATTTAATAATCATTTATTCAGCCAGCTAAAATTTATTTTTTTCAGTCTAAATAAGCCCTGCTTGAGAGGAAAAGTTAAAAACTTATGTGATCTATTATGAAATTCATTACTTGTAAAAATTAGAAAGAAAACTAAGAAAGATTTAAAAAAAAACGCGATAGAAGAGATTAAAAAGAGATCAAAATTTTTGGTCTTTTTCCAATAAGTTAAAAAAATTTTCTTGGGATTTCGAAATCGAATATTGAAACCAAGGCTTTTTTTGTTTTGCTTCTATATTTTTAAAATTTTTTGAAAATTTTCAAAAATAGAATTTATTGGGACCGATTTAAATTTTAGCTTGGATTTTCGGTTAATTTATGAACGATTTGTTTATTTATTTCGCAAAAAATTCTGAAAGCGGCTCTCAGTTATAAAATTAAAACACTAAAATGGTGGTTGGGGATATCAATTTTTTACTATAATTGAAAAATAAGAGAATAATATCAAAGGCTGATTTATGCAAGCGTTAAAGAAAGGAATAGAGTACATAAGTATAATTTATATATAATTAACAGTCCTAGGTTAAAGCGAAGAATGAAAAATTAGACACGTGTATAAATTAAAGAGTCCTGCAGATAAGCAAATTACAATAGGATCCGTGAAAGGCTACGTATAAAATAATTTTGTAGAATGCGAGAAAAACAAAACCATAAGAAAAAATAAAAAATAAGATAAGGCTGAAAGAAAAAAAAGAGTCGGTCCTCTCTTATTTCTGGAAAATTTGGAAAAAAAAATTTCTGGGGAGCCATCTAATAATTCAAAAATGTAAGTAAAACCCGCAGGTTATGTAAGAATGTATTTTCCGTTTAGAATGTGGGATTTCCCATTTAGAATTTGAAAACTTTATCGAGAATATCAGGTAACAGTTTCAGGATAAAACAAAGAAAGAAAAATTAGACTAGTATATAGATTAAAGTTTCCCGCAGGCTGGTAAATTATAACAAGATTAGTAAGACTCCTTATAGAAAAATAATTTTTGAAGGACGTTTAAGTGAAGAGTAAGAAAAGGCAAAATAATACAAAAGAAAAAACAAAAAAGTGTTTCAGAATAATATTAACAGTAAAGATCTTATGTCTTAACTCTGTTCTGGGCTGTTACAGTAATTGAAAGTACCAGATTTTTTCACTAATAACGTCTTATATTGAAAAAATTCCTTATACATAGTCATTTTTGATTTTGGAAATTTTGTTTTAGAGGTAATAATGTTGATTAAATGGTTATATTTATACATATTTGAAAGCCTTAAACATGCTTAAATGAATAATATTAATAAAAAGAAGATATTTGTGATTATTAGTGAAATTCTTAACATAAAAGTTTTTTAGTGAAAGAAATCGTTATAAATTTGCAACTACTGCACTATAAAAAAATTTTTTTTAGCCCCGCAGGGAAGTCCTGATCTGAAATCTCTATAAATTAATTAATTTCACCTTTTTATTTGGAAAAAGGATGAAGATCTTCTGGATACAAAAGTAATTTAATTTGGTGTTTATTGATAAACAGCAAATTCCACAAGAGAGCGAAAAAAAATAGAAAGCCTTTCTGTATGTTGTCTCAAATTTTTGTGTAGTTTGTCAGGTTTTGTTATAATTGTTAAGAATTTTTTTGAGGTAAAAGATTGAGAAATGTAACCAAAAAAATTGTTTTGTGAAAATTTCATATAAACGTCTTCTTATAGAGGAAGACTAAAAACAAACAATTTTTCTTGTTCGTATTTATAGAACATATCCAAGTTTTGAAAACACTGTTGTTTAGCGACCTCCTAAGGCTAAACTTTTTTTGGCTTTATTAATGGTTCTTAGGAAACCCACATTATGATTCATTTCAGTTTGCTTTTTTTTAGAAAAATATCTGGTCTGGGCGAATTTTCATTTATTTCGCTCTTACTTGTCTTAAGGGGATTATGTGAGAAAGGCGCTTAGAAATAAGAAGATATGTATGTATTACACAAAAAGTTTTAACGAGTAATTAAACTAGAGTCTGAAAATCCCAAAATTCCATATTAAATAAAATTTCCAATCTGAAATTTTAAAGGAAAAAATTTGTTATATTGTTTTATTCTGAGAAACCCGCAGGTTATAAAAACATTGTAAACCATGTTTTTTTGGAAAGTTCATATTTAGCATTATCGATAAAAAGCAGAATCGATTTTTAAAAAGGCTTTAAGAATGTTCGCTCATCTTTAAGGGAGATGAGCGATGTAACAGAGATTTTGATGAGGGTACATATGGAATTTTTGACAATATAATTTAATTTTCTTGGACCCCGCAGGTAAATTATTCGAAATAAAGTAAAGAACTAACTCATTTCGTTGATGGATAAATTTATAGGAAAATACTAAAATTAAAACATTTCCTATCCTTCTTTTCCTGTAAATTTCAGGAATGCTTTTCTTGTGAATGAAAGATTTCCTGGAAAAATAAAAGCGAATGCTTTTATTCATAAATATTTCAAAGCTCAAGTTTAATAATTTTTATTGAATGGAACAAAGGAAAAATCTGACCATTTTGGAAAAATATATGGGGAAAATTGGGGAGAAAAAAAAGGGGGTCTATACGCTTCAATATTACCGAAATTACTTTTCCATAACAAAAAGCACCGTCTTTCTCAAAAGAAGTTTTAAGAAAAGGTTTTCTCAAAAAAGTTTATGAATAATTAGCAAAAAAGATGAGAGAATTTTTAAAAGGTTAATGGATTTAATTAAATGGCCTCCTCAGAGGTTTTGAAACGATTAATAACTTCTTTATGATTATTATAAAAATAAAATTATTTTCCCATTTTCTGTGTTTTTATCAGTTAATAAGTATTAAGTTTTCTTTGAATATTTTTATTATTTCCTTTTTTTGTAAAGTACTAAACAATAAAGATTTAATTAGGCGTTTAATGAGTCATAATTGAACCCCGCAGGGTTTTATGCATATCATACAGTTAAAATTTACCTTTTCTTTAAGGAAGTGAATTTTTATTTTTAAATAAAAATAAATGGAGAATCAATATCTGGATAAAAGAATGATGTAATAATAAGAATGACCTTTTCTCTATTTTTTTAACAAAATAAATTATTTTTTAGAGAAAATTTCTATTTCAAAGGCATTTTTTAAAGACTTTTCTTGCCTAAATCCGAATTAAGCATCTAATGAAAGTCAAAGATCAATTATGTTTTTAAGATACTTTAATTTTACCTACCTTTGTTGAAATTCTCGAGAAGTTTTTAAAGAGAATCTCCATTTGAGACGCTCGTATTAAGAATAATAAGTATTGAAAACCCCGCGGGGTACAGAACAAGTTTGATTGACGTACTTGGAGCATCTTATTAAGAAATATGTAGTTATTCATTCAGTTTGTTGCCAGTCTCGAGATGCATTTGCAATAAAGTAATAAAGAACACACAAAAAATAAATTAATAAAGATAAAATGAAAACGTTCATGAAAATAAAGTTAGCGAATGCCGCAGCATTTTTAAGGTATGAAAGTGAAATAAACTCCCCAAGATTAATTATGGGCCAATTTTTAATGATTTTCTAATAGAGAACTATTTTCTTATTTTTTCTAAAATTATTTATTTAAATGACCTCCTCGGAGGATAGGAATACTTGGCATTAAAATTTATATTTTTCTATTTCATTTAAATTAATTCTTATTTGATTTAATTGTATTCCTTTTAGTTTTCCTTATTTTATAAATGTAAATGGCCTCCTCAGAGGTTAGATCACTTTAATTACCCCTTATATTTCTAAAATTCTTCATTCAAAAACTTATTTATTTATTATCAAAAACAGGGATATAAAATAAAATATAAATGGCCTCCGCAGAGGATAGATCACTATAAAATTAACCCCCTTAAATTTTTCTAAAATTCTTCATTCAATTATTAATTTATTATCAAAATGGGGGACCATGGATTTTGAGCGCAAAATATTTTTATTCTTATATAAATTATTCATTCATCAAATTAAATTAAACCGCGGATTTTGAGTGCACAATAAAAAAATAAAATCCATCTTTAAAAATTCCCCGACCTATTTCTTACTCATGTTTTTACGGCAAAAGGTGAGGAACCATCCGGTGCTACCAGTAAAGCGGTTGGTCCCGTTCCCCAGTGCCTTGTTGTTCAGTTGATATTATTAGCAGAGCCGCGCATGTTGCAATCATGTATGAACTCCGCAGAGTATAGAAATAGGTGAATCGCACGCAGTGGGGGAATATAGGGAGAGCTCTTCCCTATAGACTCGATGGATTGGCCGGCCGGCAACTCTGTTGAATGAATGAAGAAGTGATCCACCTTTGCCTATTCCTTTAGGGCTTATATGCACCAGCCTACTTCCTTATTGCTTTCCCAAGGATAAGTTAGTGGCGATGCTAAGCTTAGATAATGGGCGGCTAATAACTCTCTGGGAATGGCCGTTTGTAATATTCTTTGCACCTTCCTGCAAACTTCCGTTAACTAGAGCGACATTGCTCTTCACGTGTTTTTAGGATGATATCCGCCTTACAGTAATAATTTTTATTTAATTTACGCTGTGAAATAAAAATTTTTTTTATACATTTACATATTTAAAACGCTTCTTTATGAGCTTAAGAAACGAAGATTTGGTCTCAAAAAATTTATTTCATCATCTTTTAGTAGAAAATTTCGTTATTAAATACAAAAAAATTTTATTAAATACCCAAAAAAATTTTTAAAATTAAAACCCCAATTGAATATGCACCCTTTATTTATGTAAATCAGAGGTGGGTCGGAACAGTCGAAGGTGTCGGAAATCGGAAGAGCTGGAAATCGGAACTGGCCCAAAAGTCGGAACTCGGAACTCGGAAATCAAAAAAAAAATTTTTCGGAAATCGGAATTCCGACCCACCTCTCATGTAAATAGACTTCAGTTTCATATACATAATTTCAGTCCCAGGAGTGTACGTAAAATGGAGTTATAACCTTATTTAAAAGATAGGGTCAGAAAAAAAATTTTTGCTTCCCATAATTATTTTCCAATATTAATTTAATTTTAAAAATATTTTGAAAAATTGCGAATATTCCCAGACATAAATAAAAAAAATTAAAATTATATAAACAATTTATAATAAATATTTACTCTAAGAAAATAAATTTTTTTCACATATTAAGTTCAAAAATATATGTTTATTAATTAAATTTTAATAAAATAATATTTTTATTAAAATTTTTAGTGCTTGAAGTATTTATTTTAATATTTTAATTAAGTATATTTTCAACTAGGGGTTGCACCCAGAACATTTTGGAGCGGATGTGTAGGGGTACGGGGTTTTCAGATTGTTTCAGGTCGAGGATAATTGTAGAAAAATCGTTCATAAAGAGGATAGGATATATATCAGGGCTGGGCGAACTCTAAAAATAAAAAGCGAAATGCGAAATGCGAAACTTTTCACGCCAAAAAATGCGAGAATGCGAAAGATGCGAAACGCGAAAGTGCGAAATAAGCCCAGCCCTGATATACATATATGATATGGCAATTGCATACTAATCCGACATTGTGTCCAACCCTAGTCGGGGGGGGGGGCAACTCTATTTTCAAATTAAATCGCAACAATCAGGCATCATTAAGCCTCTGACAATGTCGCGTTAAAGCTAGCAGAAATCTTTATTTTTTATACTTGTTTAGCTGAATTAGGTTTGCACTTTGTCCATGAACCCCACTAAAAGGGCTGAAGAATTCTGAATTTAAAAAGCGGAAGGCGGAAGAACGGAAGAAAATAAAAAACGAAAAACGAAAGTGGAAGACCCAAAAAAGACGGAAGTAGGCGGAAGCTGAAGAAAATCCAGCCCTGCCAAAGAAGGTTGACACGCCTTCCCCGGCAACCCCCGCTCTCGAACACTCCCATCCCAAAGGTTTGGGGTGTTGTCCACAACTATACTGCTAAAATTATTTTCCCAATCAACAATTTTTTCGACCATTTTTGACAAAATAATGCGCGAGGGCACAGCCCACCCCTCCCATCTTTATTATTTCAATTGCTGCATTAGACATTAATTATTTAAAAAAATATATTAATGAGCAGCAAAAAATTATAAATATTTATGCTTGACTAAATTATTTTTTAATTAATTTTTAAAAATTATTTTTAAAAAATTATTTCTGTGTGGTCAGGACTTGTATTTGCGTGGTTTATTAGAAAATAAAAAAAATTTTCTAATTATTTGTTTTTATAATTTAAAATAATGAGAAGTAAATTCTTAATCCAAAAAGATGCCGTAAATTTAGTAGGTATAAAAGGCTTGTCACTTTGGGCATATACAAGCAAACGATAACTCAAAACCCTCAAAATATCGTTCCTTAAATATCGTCACCGCAGAAAGAGTTTAGCTAAAGTTTAGCCACCGGACAGGCCTCCTTGCAGTTAATGCTAGGCGCTTTAGCCCGATGCTTAACGCCCGCTTTTAAATAAAACGCTTTTAAATGCTACCGAAAATTTTAGGCTCCATGACAGTTGTACAATGAGACAATTGTGCAGTATTAAGAGCTTTTTAAAAAAAATTTATGTTAACCCAAAATATCGAAAACATATGATCAACACTAAATTTTTTAAATTTTATTTCACAGCATGGGAGGGTTATTCCAATTACGAAACAAACTTCAATTCGTTGAATTGATCAGCGAAGTGGGTGATCAATCGTGTGAGTGATCAACCGGGGATGTGCCTAAGCGGAATTTAAAAAACGAAAGGTGAACGACAGAAATTAAAAAGCTAAGGCAGAAGGCGAAAGCAGACGAGTCGAAAAAAGCGAAATTTCGAAATCATAAGCAACATTATTATGTAATTCTGGATGTATTTAAAAGCGAGTCTAGACTGAATACTAATTTAAAATTTTCATTAATATTAAAAAAAATCTTTTTCTAGATGGTAGTTGATTATAATTTAGAAAAAATTATAGCACGTAGTGTTGCCATTTTTATCTATTCAGCTTGTGCAACATTTTTATTAATTATACTACCTCCTCTGTATAAATTTTCAAAGGAAAGAACTGCTCTATTCATTCTTTTTAGCAAGGCAAGTTTATTCTAAACATAACTTTTTCGAAACTGAAAAATCTCGAAACACGAAACTCGAAAATATTTTTTAAAAATTCGAAAATCGCAAAGCAAAAGGAAAAACCCTCGAAAATCGAAATTTCGAAACAGAATAAAGGTTTTGAAATTTTTATTACAGAGTGCCAAGAAAATTTTAGGACAAAACATTTCGCCATAACTTTCTTTCTCTTTAACATTTTTTAATATTTTTACACTCATTTTGTAGCCCAAACAATTCTCTTTAAGGGCTTATAAGATCTGTTCATTCTTGATTTTTTTCGAAATGATTCAGCGGTCGCAAAATTTCAACTCCTCCTAACGTTTAAAAAATCACTTTCCAAAAAATTAAGATATTCCAGTATGAAATTCTTTGGGAAAAATTTTTTTGAATAATATTTGGGATAGTGGGCAGTGGAGATCGAGATTTTTGAAACGCCTGGGCTTGTTCCTGGACTCTGGGTTCGATTTATTGGCCTGGGCCGAATCATGGGCCTGTAGTCAAGGAAAAACCCGGGCCCAAGAAAACCCCAGGAAGGTCAAAAAATGCCTGGACTCTGGGTACAGGAAAAACCCAGGCCTTGGTCCAGAGTCAGCTCGATCTCTAGTGGGCAGGACTGTTGACTTAATAAAATGTGGATGAACTGTATCAGTAAGAACACCCGAGAACGTGAGCATGGCTAAATTCCGAGTATGCCCCCAATTCACGGGTTTCGATGAGAAAAAGCGTCATTGAATACCAAATAAATTATTAAGACTTGCAAACAAATTAATTTTTATCAAATCTAGACTTGTTGCAACCTTTCTTCTCAAATTTTTCAAATATCCCGCAACATAATTTTTTATTTTCCTGCAATTTATGCAGCTGTTGCAGCTATTAATAATGTTATTTCTCAACCTGTTTCTATACTTTTTGAAACTTCAATTTACATACATATAATTGTATTGGCATTAAATCGTTTTCATGCTGTTTACTTTCCTTTTAGTTATCAACAAATGTGGGATAAAAAGTACACTGCTCCACATAATTATAAGTCCACCCATTTTTTCGGGATTTTTTGACTCCCAGTGATCCAAATTTTTTGAAAATTTAGAAACACACCTTTTAGTGAATAACTAACAAGGTGTGATTCGATTTTTGGCTGAATTTTTATTTAAAAAATTTTTAGACCAAAATATGTGTTTTCGGCCTCCACAAAATTATAAGTCCACTTTTCAAAAAAGATATTTCCAAGTTTAGGAAAAATCTACAAAAATTCTAGCAACAATATATAATGATATTATGAAAAAATAAAAAAGAACTAGACCTATAACTCTACCCGGAGCCGAGATCCTGAGACCTCAAAAATCAACGTAAAACGGGAGTAAGGCTCTTTAAAAAAATTTTTCGACCCCTTATCGATTATTTTCAATTTTGATTTTGGGCTCATTCGACAGCCCTTGAAATTTGCTACAAGATAGCATTAATAATATTTTATAGAAAATTCGATTAGAAAGATACGAGCCGTTAATCTTCTGATGCAGCAAAAATCGTCTAAATGCCCATAAAATGCCCTCTAATGACACCTAGAAAGTTTATCGTCTTGTGTCTCTCTAAGGAATTTTTCTGAAAAATAAGACAAGTGCTATCTTGTAGCAAATTTCAAGGGCTGTCGAATGAGCCCAAAATCAAAATTGAAAATAATCGATAAGGGGTCGAAAAATTTTTTTAAAGAGCCTTACCTCCATTTTACGTTGATTTTTGAGGTCTCAGGATCTCGGCTCCGGGTAGAGTTATAGGTCTAGTTCTTTTTTATTTTTTCATAATATCATTATATATTGTTGCTAGAATTTTTGTAGATTTTTCCTAAACTTGGAAATATCTTTTTTGAAAAGTGGACTTATAATTTTGTGGAGGCCGAAAACACATATTTTGGTCTAAAAATTTTTTAAATAAAAATTCAGCCAAAAATCGAATCACACCTTGTTAGTTATTCACTAAAAGGTGTGTTTCTAAATTTTCAAAAAATTTGGATCACTGGGAGTCAAAAAATCCCGAAAAAATGGGTGGACTTATAATTATGTGGAGCAGTGTATGTAGATAGAATTTTTAATAAAATACTCGAAAAAGTGGTAAAATTGAAGTTCGTATACCCCCTCTTAGTGTTTCGCCGGAACCGCAAATTTGGCATTAACCGAAATGTTACGACCGGAGGTGTCCGAGATTTGACTGATGTTGACGTGCACAGTAATAACAATTTATCTGGTGTAGAAACAATGTAGGCGAAGGTGAAAGAGTTGGAACAAACGAAGGGAATCAGGGACTAGCCGCGCTAGTATGTTCAACTAGACTGACGCTTTCACTGGCTTTTATACTATAGCGATACCACTACACAACACGAAACTGGATCTAATTTTTTGGTTTCGGGCCGGAACTGGAATCGGAACTTCTGGCAATACCCCCACCTTCTTCCTTTCCTCAAAATATTAAAAAGATGGTCAGACTTCGCTTTATTATTCAACTTCACTCATTCCCTATGCCACCTGCCACAAAAGGTTTTATAAACCCTACTCGAAACTCGATCCTACGAAGATCCCGAAATCCCGGATTTATTGATTTTCGGGATCCGGTTTTTTTGCGATTTATCCCTCGGGATCCCGTCACGGCATCGGTTAAGGAAAAAAATCCCGACTCGGGAATACTGACATTTTTTTTATAATTTTCGGGATTTTTAAATTAACATAATGCCAAACATTTCTTACACTAGTGACCAGTAGGTCACTAGAGATCCCGGAAGTTGCGATCCCAGAAGTACGATTTTAACTCTAATTAATAGCATTTATCTTAAGTACTTATGTATCATATTATGCCGAGACAGATTTTAAAAAGCGAAAGATTTTAGAATACATATTAGAATAAAAATTATTTTTTTAATATAAAATTTCAGAAAACTGAAATACATCATTTTTGTCACGTGGATAATAATTGTGCTTTGGAGTGCTGGAGAATACCTTGGACTTTCTTATTTAGGTCGGGTCATAATTAGTGTCGCTTATTTAATTTGATTTTTAAAATTAGAATATGTTTAGTGTTGAGAAATGTGTTTAGTGAGAATATGTTTAGTTATTGAGAATATGTTTAGTGTAATTTCTAAAAGATCCCATTTGAGAATTTTTGGTTAGGTATTCAGTGAGATCTGTTCGAAAATATCAAAATTTTCGAAATCATCGCGAATCAAATTTTCTCAAGTATATTTAATGGTAATATTTAGTGTAATATATCATTCGGATGATTTTACGCTGAGTTATAAGGAACAAGTTTTTGGGGGAATGTCGTCTTGTTTTTTCATATGAAAGTGGATACACGCGGCATTTAATTTGCTTCCTTTAAGCGTAGCCCGCGTCTTTGAGTCATTCGTGGCCGTACGTATAGAGCAGATATCCCCCGACAATTAAGCGTAGAAATAACGGGACACCGGCCGAGCCGGACCGTTAGGCTTAATGAATGCCGTCTCCCTCGACCATGTTTGCTTCTAGAGTTATACGGCCTTCCACGTAAAACCTTAACCCTATTCTTGATGTCTAGCATAGACAACGACCCCATTGAGATTCAGATCTTTATGTTGATTACTAAGAAAAAAGAATATTTGTAAAACAACACCCCTAAAAATTTAATCTAAAAAGCGACACTAATTATGACCCGACCTAATAATTTCAGCATTTTCAACGGACATGTTTTTCCTTCTAAGGTAGTTTGATGACATCCTCTGCTATGGGTGGGGGTTAACTGACTAAGCTTGGCTTACTGAGTTATAGCAAACTTTAATTAACCATAGCTTTTCTGGTCTCGACCCATTCGTAAATGACATTTTTCCCCACCGGATGAATCAAGTCTGATCACTTATTAAAA